GCAGAATCCTGCACAATCCAGGGGGCGACAGAATGACAAGTCGACAAGGGAGGGGACACTAGCAGAGGAAGGCGTGGCGCTGGAAGGCCAGCTGGTCGAGGTCAGGGCTCAGGGCAGACTGGCCGGGGACTCCTCGTCTGCCAGGCGTCTCTCAGGAAGCCCGATCACATCTGGCCCCAGGAGTTCCCAGGCCCTGTGCGTGCCCAGGGGCAGCAAGAGAATACCTCACAAGGCCGGCATCCACCCTGCTGAAATAGCAGGAGGAAAATGGCCGGCCATCTGGACCTTCTCTCTGGGCTCTGTGACCGCTGGTCAGTCCCCCAATCTGGGTCTCCGGGGTCTCCTCATCTGTATGAGGAGGGGGTGTGGCTCCAGGACCCTGCGAGATCACAGAGTCTGTGAATTTGTGGGACTTCCTCACATAGGGCCTGGCAGGAAGAGGAAGGAGGTGAGGCATCCCCACCCAGCTCCTGAAGGAGCCCCCTCCTCTTCCCCTCAGCTCCATTCCCACTGCTATTTTTAGAACAGACCACAGGGAGCGTCTCCACCAGGCCTGGCATCTCGGAGATCCAGGTAAAACACAGCAAACCCATTCATTCCGCTCCAGTAAGAACATGCCAGGAATTTATAGACAAGCCAGCCGACTAGACAACCTCTCCCCATGCCTTAGCCGGCCTGACTTCTCACTATTTCCATTACAGCCTGAGTGGTGAATTACATTTCCTGACGACAACACAGTGGACTGTGAGTGAGATGGTGAGAGCTTCCCTAAGACCATCTGTGTCCCTGTTCTACCGTCAAAACCGGCAGGATCTTCAAAAGTCACTGACAGAGGAGTACCAGGCTAGAAGTCAGGAGGTGGGTCCTAGTTCCAGTTCTACAGGTGACTATGTGCCCTTGGCCAGGCTTTTGCCTCTCTCTTGGTCTTTGTTTCTACGAATCAGCTCGTTAATCTACCTGATGTGGGGGTGTGGGGGTGTGGGGGTGGGGGTGTCCCTTTCAGTGCCACATTTAAAGATTGTATGCTTCTATCAAAATTCTAGTCACTCATGAAAAGAACACTGCATTCTCTGCCTTTGGGTGTGTGTTGAGTTGTGTTTCCAAAGTCCACGTAAGAGTTGACTACATGTCTCAGAATGCATTTTCCCATTGAAAACAGTGTATTAAACAGTGGTCAGCTTCCTAGGCTAGCCTACTTAACCCTTAATGTTCTTCCAGCAAAGAGAAACAGCAGAAAACTACATTTACTGCTGAGGAGCAACAGAGAAAGCTCTGAGCCAACAGTAGAATTTAGCCAAAACAGAAAAGCACTAACATTTAAAAGGCACCTTTTTAGAAAATTTATCTTAAGTACTGTTGTTCATGCAAAAGAAGATATGGGTTAAAGGCAATGAGAATGTCCATGGCCACTTCTGGGGAAAAGTCTGAAGGCGACATCTAACCACACCAGAAACTAAAGGCACTGCTTATTGATGACCATAAATTCCACCTGAAAATTAGCTTTATGCCATAGACCAGCAGTTGGAAAAGTTAAAAAGCATGGGTGCACACGTACGTATGTAAAGTTCAAACAAAAGCGTCCAGTGTGTGTCCAACCACCTGAGCAGAAAGGAAGGAGGGATGGCAGAAGATACTGGGTTAGAAAGCTCCTTGTGCTAGCCTCCCAGTGGGAAGCTGGAGAGGAGGTACCTTTGGGTGGGGAGGGGACAGGAGTGTGCTTATAATTTTGGTGTTTACGATGAAGACCCCTTCCTGTATAAGATCCATAAGTATACCGATGTGCTACGTGTGCATGATGACTATTAACCAGGTACAGCATTTGCACATATCCACACACATATACTCGTTTCAATGTAAAGACTGAAATGTCTGTTTTCTTTCTTCCTTTAGCCTATTAGAGTCCAGAGAGTTGGACCTCTGCCCACTCTCTGCTCTGAAATCTCTCACAGAACTGATTCAGTGGTCTCTCATAACATGTCTTGAGACAATGGCCATGATGAAGAACCTGAACCAATTCTTGCCCTAGATCAGGGTCTTCACCCTTTCTGAGGGGAGTAACTACTTTATATTTATCTTTATGTCCTAATATTTTGGAACCAGATGACTTCCAGAGGTCATCTAATTCAACTCCCTCATTTTTATTGGTAAAGAAACTAATGATCAGAAAGGTGAAGTAATCTGCCCAAGGTCAAATAGTGAGTTACAAGAAAATCAGGATTTGAACCAAGATCTTCAGAATCCTATTCTGGTTTTCCGAAGGAGAGGGGCTCAGTGGAGAGGAATCCCACAAACCTGGGGGAGAGACCCATAGGAGTGGTTCTGATCAGGTCTCCTTTCCCTCCAGGTTGCCCAGGAGTCAGTATGGGAATATGGTGGTATCCATGACCCTTAAGTCAACCTGGCCAGGTTGCTTCTTAAACCAAGGTCTCCAAAAAGCTGAGGTATAACAGAAAATTCTCTGAGCCAAGAGTCAGGAGACTTGAGTTCTAGTCCCAGCTCTGACACTAACTTGCCCCATGACCCTGGACAGATCACTTTCCGTTTCTGAGCCTAGTTTCCTCATCTAGATTCTAGAACATGAAAGAGTTGAACTAGATGACCCAATTCAATACTACAACGTGTATTGAGCACCTACTAACGTCCAGGCAATAAGAGAATCAAAGACAAATAAAACATGATCTTCACTTGCTCCCAAGGAGCTCACAGTCTTGCAAGTTAAGACATATCTGCCTCTCACAATGTGCTAAGAATGAACAAAACGTTAAGGGGAAAGCAATGACCTCTGATGTCTGCCTGAGAAAGGTGTCTCAGAGGAGGTGCCAGTGATGCTAAGTTACGAAGGTTGAGGAAGATTGCATCCAGCAGGGACAGTGAAGAAGGGCAGGCAACATCAGGCAGAAGAGACAGGCCAAAAATAAATGTGCATGGTGGGCTTCAAGAAGGGGAAGTAATCCAGCGCGGCCGGCCGGTGGATGCAAGCAAGAGTGCAGTGTGACTAGTATGAGCTTTGAAAGCCAAGATAAAACCTGGGCTTTATTCTGAAGACAATGACCTCCCACTATGGTCTTTAAGGGGAGCATGCAGCTCCGTCTCCATGGTCCCTCCCAGCTTAAAGAGTCCATGATTGCAGGGAAGCAGAATAGCAGAGTGGTCCAAAGCAGCTGAAATCAGCTTCCTAGGTTCCAGTCTGGCAGTCCCTGATGAGGACCCCTTCCTGTATAAGAGCCATAAGTATACCTATGTGTTATGTGTGCATCATGACTATTAACCAGTTACATCATTTGCATATACCCACACACATACAGTCTTGTTTCAATGTGAAGACTGAAATGTCTTAGAGTCGGCTACCTGGGTTCCAATCCTGGCCACCCACTGGCTATGTGATCTTGGGCAAGTTTCTTAACTTCTCTAAGACTCAGTGTCTTCATCTATAAGTTGGGAATAATGAGAGTAAATGTATAATGGGGAGAACAACACAAAGTTGTAGTGAGGATTAAATGAAATAATGTAGGTAAAAAGCTTGGCACCATGCTTGCCTTATAATATAAGAGCTCGCCAAATGTTACCTAGTATTACCATTCTACCTTTAACCAAGGATCCGGGAACAATTTAGAGGAGGATGCCTCTATCCAAAGGAGCCCTGGTGATGCAGTGGTTAAGCATTCAGCTGCTAACCAAAAGGTTTAGGGTTTGAACCCACCAGCTGCTCCTTGGGAGAAAGGTGTGGCAGTCTGCATCCCTAAAGATTTACAGCCTTGGAAACCTTTTGGGGGCAGTTCTACTCTGTCCTATAGGGTTGCCATGCATCGGAATCAACTCAACAGCAATGGATTTTGTTTTTGTTTTGTTTTTTTTTAAACAAGCCCCTATCCAGAGTAAAGCTTGGAAGAAGATAATGTCAAGACACTATAAGGTAAGGATAGAGGGAAGGGTTGTACTGTCTTCATTGAAAGCTAAAAAAGAAGAGCAAGATTGCGAGGACCAAGGGCAAGATGGCATAGCCAGACCAGCAGGCAGTTTCCTGCAGCCAAAGGAAAGGAGGGAGGAAAGCTGGAGGCAGAACAGAAAAGAGTTGAGCTTTTTAGAGAAGAGTCTGCTTCTTTGGGGGAATATCTGAAATGTAGTCCATTTGGTTCCCAGTTACTTGTCCACTTAGTCTTGAGATTCAAAATCAGCCAATTAGCAAAATCTGGGCACCAAATCTGGAGGAGTCAGCTGAGGCAGGTTCTCTCCCCACCCTTCAGGTCAAAGGCCTCCTCTGGTGCTTATGCTCAGGGCACCCAGGTAGAGCCTTAAGCTATCACTTTCTGCCTTTGGCCAACATTCCAGTTGCTGTCTCTACCCCAGGCTCAAGATTCTGTCCTTGAAAAGCATAGGATGTGTTTGCTGGTCCACTTGATGGCCAAACTCGAAAGGGGAAGGGACGTTACCCGACCATGCCAATGGTCCCTGAGAGCCTATGTCTTGAGGAGCTCAAACTTGTCTTTCATATTACTTTCTTCAAATCTTGTGTGAAGCTATTGATCTTTTCAGCCTGTGCCAGCTCTGAGAACAAAGAATTCTGCAAGTTGGTTCCCCACTGGATAAAGAAGGTATCTTGTTTTTTTGTCCTACAAGCATCCCCTCTAGAGCTTTAAGGGCCACAACTTCTGACATGCTGGATATGCTCTTCCTGCCTCTTGCTGGAGGAGATGATTGATTTCTCTTATTTCCTTCCCTAAAAGGCAAAGCTTTGTATGTGAAGAGAGCAATGGATGGGGTTGAAAGGTCTTGGCTTGAGGACTAGCTGGGCCTCTTTCCAGCTGTGTGACTTTGGACAAATGCTGGGAGGCTTAGGGGAGACAGATGACACCTTGGGACCCCAGTTACCATCTCCAAAGCATATGCAGGCCTCTGGGGCCCTCACTGTGGGGAACCCTCCCACACTGCAAAAGCCCACACTCGCACTTTGCAGAACCCTCTTGGTGTCAGGTGTGAGAAATGAGGGCTCTGATGGTGGAATTAATAAAAAATCATAATAATAATTGAAATAAAAAACAAGACATACATAAATAAATGTCCTTATTATTTCCAACAGGTCCATGTTGTCCCAAATCCTCAAAGAACCAAAGACCCAAGCCAGCAGAGACGTTGGCAGGACTGCTTATAGGAGATACTGAGAGTTTCCAAGACCCAGAGTCTGAGACATAGGAAAACATGAAAATGGGATCAGAGGGTGGGCTGGGAACTAAAAGGATCGCTTTGTATTCAAAGCGCACAGACGGCCTTTTCAACAATAAATGGCTGTGCTCCCATCCTCCCAACTCCTGGGCCCCGAGACACCAAACCAAGACAATTGGCCCATCAGGAAAGAGGCCATTGTGTACCTCTTAGTGTGATTTATGTGGCAGGGAGGAGCTCGGCGGTGCTTCCCGTGATTATGACTCTCAAATGCAATTTTGATAGTATGTTTATCATCCTGGACAGCTGCGATGGACTGGGATGTTGAAGAGCAGTGGCCACCAGGTCATATTTCATCTTCTCAAGCCCACGGAGCCAAATTAATTGTTTCATTGATTTGCGAGGAAGAATATCAATGGTGCTGTGGCTCACCACAGTCACTGGGCAAATCTAGCCCAGGGCCCACTGGGTCTGATGTCCGCCTCCCCGAGAGCCAGCAGGCCTGGGACCCTGACGGGAGCAGCTACTAGGCTCCGCAGCTTGTTGGGACAAGCTGGGAGGAAAGCCCGGTCCCCAGGACTGGGTACTATGTTCAGATTCTCCATTTTCCTGTGGCCAGACCGCCTGTCCTCTGCACCTGTCTCGTGGGCAGTGGGAGGACACCAGGTTGGAGAGAGACAAGCTTGCTGCCTTCCCAGACAGACAATTCTCCTGTGCCTCACATTCCCCTTAATGTCATTTTGTAAGGGAATCAAATGAAATCAAAGTGCAGCTTGCTGTCTGTGCAGCCCCAGCTGCTTGGCCTCTCAGAATTATCCCGAGGGCTGGGCCCTGGCTGACAGAGACGCTGTGCATCACTGTCTCCGTTCAGGCAGCATCTATTCCCCTGCTGGGGAGGGGCATTAGCCTGATCACAGGTAGATACATCCTGTGCCCTGTTAGACTACTGATATGATATGTCTGATCTTTCCTCAGCTGGGAGAAGGATAAGCAGGGGGCAAGGGATGTATTCTCTTCTGGGCCACCCTTCCAGGGGTTCAAGTGGCCCCAGCAGCTAAGCAAACTCTTCTCTTCTCTAAAGACACGGAGAAGTCTTACAAGACACAAAGCAAAGAGTGTCTGGGGTGGGGGAGCTTCTCTGACCTGAGCCATCTCTCCAGCTTCTCTAACCCCCTTTTCCTATGCAGGTGACCCTGATCCTACCAACACCTTGCATAAGCCATGCCACTCAGACTGTGGCCTCAGGCTTCCCAGCCTCTAGGTGTTCGCAATTGGGAAAAAGTGTGAGAGCTGCCCACCCCGAGCACCCGCTGAGGGTGCAGCAGGCAGTGAGCGCCTGGGCTCCAATCACCATTCCCTTGACAGGTCTTCCTTTAGCCTCGTGGCACAACAGTCTCACTAGAGTTGCTGAGCCACACCCAGGCCCAGTCACTGACCCTTAGGAGTCCTGCAGAAAGCAAAACAAGTCAATTTCCAGAGTGCTGTCTATCAGCTTCCTATAAGACTACTCAGCATAGGATGGAGGGACAGCACAGGCAACCTCTGCTAAGGCCTGTGGGGCCATGGACTTTTTCACCTTGGCTGGGCTGAGCACCTACTGCTCCCAAATCCCAGGGACATTCCCAGAACTCAGCACCAGCCGCTAGCCCAGGCTTGGGCAGGAAGGGGCTCTGTGAGGAAGACCTGAATCCTCACTAATACCCACTAAGAGAGTAAGACATGATGGAGGATGAGGGCGAGGTGGGGGAGACAAGGAATCGTCTCTTCTCATCCCAGAGCCTTCTCCGTATCCCAGGGCCTGAGCATTCACAGACCCACCAACCCAGCCACCACTCCAAGATAGGCTACCATCGCTCCTCACCTGGAGGACTGAAAGAGCCTCGTAACTGGTCTCCTCACACCCACCTGGGCCTCTCCCATCTGCTCTCTGATCTTCTACATATGTACCTGAGACTGTGACTTCCTTTCTTAAAAGCCTTCAATGGCTTCTCACTGTATCTAGAATGAAATCAGTAAAGCATTTGATGCCAAAGCCTTGATGATCTGGCTCCCACCTACCCAACTTCCTTCTCAATAAGCTCAGCCACACAGGCCTTGTCTGGTCCTCCAGCACTCCAGGCTCCTTCCCACCTCATGTACTCTTTACATGCTCTTCCATTTATCTGGAACTCTCTTCAAAGTCCTTGACTAGCTAACTCCTTTCCACTCTGCAGGTGTCAGCTTAAAAATCATCTTCTTTGAGAGGCCTTATCCCCTCCTCCCACACACACACCCACATACACCGCACACACACACACAGCCATCTGAATAATACTTTCTCTTAAAGGAATCTGTTCGTTCCCTTTGTAGATTATCACAGTTTGTAATCGTGAGTGTGTGTATGTGTGTGTGTGTTGGTGTTATTTATTCAATGGCTCACTCCCTTACTAGGACTGGAATCTTGATGAGGGCAGAGACTACACAGTATCCTCAGCTACTAGTACAGAGCCTGGCGTAAGGTAGATGCCCCCAAAATATCTGTTGAATGAATGATTGAATGAATACAGATGAAAAATGAGTGAGTGGGTAGTTAGGTCTTCCGGCAGCAGCAGATCATGGTGTTGTTTTCCATCAGGGGTGGCCTCTCCCAACCTCTCCTGTGGCCTCCAAGGCAGGTGCTGGAACCACCTGGAAGCCCGGTTGCCATTTCACCTCCTTCTTCCTTGAAGGGATAAGATTCTGAGTCTTCTCCATTTAAGACTGTCTGATGCCAGTCTGCATATGCCCACAGGGCCTCTCACACCACTGTGGTCCTTCTGATGCCAGTCCACACACACCCTTGGGGCCACTCCCTTCAGATGGCCCTGGGCCCACCATCTTGGTCCTCCATTTTGGGTCCAGTTGAGGTGAGGTTACTGTGTGGTAGGGGATGCCCAAGAAAGGGTTAAGTTGCCAGAAGCAGAGTCCCGCCCTTGGGTTTGCTCAGCCAATCAGAGTCTGTCCTGATGAGGTAAAGCTTCTATCCTGGGTGGCATTGGTTGAGTTGACTGGCCCCATCTCCTGCTGGAGAGAGCCGTAAGGGTGGAGTTTCTGTGGAACCAGACAGAACTGGAATTAGCTCGCTGTCTACTCAGGTCAGAGCGGCCTGACTCCAGGACCTGCCTCTGTTCCTTTCAAAGGCACTCAGACAGACCCTGGCATCTCCAGCCCATCTATAATTGCCCCAGTGGAGATGACAAGGTGGCACACACCTCAGTGTCACATATGGAAGAAGTCTTACAGCCAGAGCAGACCCTGGAGGCCTCAGTTTTCCTCCCTGGGCCTTGAAATACAGAAGGTGGCCACGAGGAATTGACATGGAGCAGTCATCTCACATGTGCCCAGAGCAGCAGCATTCAGCTTCAGTAAGCAAGGCCACCAGATGAATCTTCCTATATAGACATCACTTAAAAATGATGATGATGATGGTGATAGCAGCTAGTTCACAAGTGCTTCTTGTGCACCAGACACTTTGCTAAGCACATTACACGAGCTTAATCCTCATGAGAACACTGTTATTCCATCTACTTTATTGATGAAAAAACTGAGTCTCAAAGAGGTTAGCCTGAGATCACAGAGTGATAAGAGTTTACAACTCCCATGTCACTTACTATGTTATTTTGAACTGTCTCTGGCACTGAACTAGGTTCTCCTGAGTGAAGAGTGTGACAGATTCATCTCTCTATTCCTGACTTCGAGCCCAGGGTCTGGCCCAAGTACAGGGCCAGTACACACTGCACTGCACTCCCCCTTCTCACCCCTGAGGTCCGGGTTTAAAGCCTACTCTTCTGAGAAGGATCCTTACACCCTGCCCAGTGCTGTCAACATGGTAGGTGCTCAGCAGAGGTTCACCGAGTGGATGGTGATGTGCAGCCAAGACCCCACTGTACCACTCTGAGGACCTAGCATGTATCGCCTTGAATGCTCAGTTGACACTCTTGTGGCCTTGTCGCCTCTCTCCAATTAGAAGGAGAATTCTATTACGGACAGGGACCAGGTCTTATTCATCTCTATGACCCCAAATGACTAAACTAGTGCCTGGCCCAGAGCAGGCATTTATTATGTAGCTTTGGTTGTATATGGCACCAATGGTTTGCTCTCTACTACTAATATAAGGGTTGGTTGTTCGAACCCACCCAGTAGCGCCCCAGAAGAAAGGCCTGGCAATCTGCTTCCATAAAGTTTACAGCCAAGGAACTCCTATGGAGCCCTTCTACTCTGTAACACATGGGGTCACCATGAGTCAGAATCGACTCAATGGCAACCGATTTGGTTTTGGTTTTGGCTATCCCTATTAGCTTAAACCTCAATGGCCAGAGGTAGGACCACCTCTGAGTTATTCTAGATTAGAAGCACCACTCCCATGGCAGGGGTTTAATAAAAGTTATCCCAGGCAGAAGAAGAAAAGTAGAGGCCCTCCAGAGATAGGTAATGAAACAAAAGAGGGGCCGAGTTCTGAAAAGGAAGAAGGAGAAGAAACCAGGGGAGGAGATGAAGCGGACAGAAAGAGAGAGAACAAACAGGACTATCCGGAGCAGCCTCCTACTTACTGTGGGCAGCTAAGAGCCAGCAGGGGGAAGGAAATGGATCTCCCAGAGAAGAGAAGCAGTCTGGCTACTGCCTGCCTCATTGCACCCACCTGTCACAGCTGGGACCCCCACACTGCAAGGTCTCAGGCCACAGGCCTTAGAGACAGTGCAGAAAAGCCTGTGCCTGTGCCCCCCCGACACCTCCACAGGGGAACAGTCTCACTCCTAAAGGCAGTAGATTTTTTCGGTCGTCAAGATGTACAGAAATCTTTAGGGTATGGCTCCCTAATGGAGACGGGCAAGTCGAGGCTCTCAGTTTTCATGATCATCGTAAAGCCTGAAGAGCTGGGAAGAGCCACCTGACCGATGCACAGATGGGACCACTGAGGCTACAGCAGGAAGCAACTGCCAAAGGTCATGCACACCACAAAGGCAGACAGTGGCACACCTGCCTCCCTATTGTTCTCTGAGTCCATCCTCCCCCAACTCCTTCTGTCCTTCCCAACAAGTATCTATTTAGTTTTCAAGGCAAATCACATTTACTATGTTCTGAAAATTTGGGGAGAACTTTGCATTCCTTGAGATGTTTGAAGAATTCCCCACGCCAAGCTGTCAGCAAACACGCTGTTGAAAGGATTAGAGACAAGGGTTGGGAAGGGGTAACAGGGGAGTTTGGGGAGTTGTCTTGTGAGCCCCACTTTCCCCAGACAGGCATTTGAGCTGAGGGGGTGGCTTAGGCAGTGTTTGTCCAGCAGAAGGCGAAGCAGTCACAGAAAGAACAAAGAAAAGGCGTGCTACTCAGTCAGGACTCCAAATAAATTGGTCAAGCAGGACCCTTTTTGCCCGAAAAGCAAGAGGCTTGTCTCGGAGCTTGGCCTTCCCTATTCTCCCGTGGACGGCAGCGACCTGAGTGCAAAGGCTGTGGCCTGGCCCTTGGGAAGGAGGTCCATAGTCACCAGAGGCTGCCAGGACCTGACGGAGCTGAGCACAGGTAGATGACAGAGGGGGCCAGCTGGACCACCAACTGGGCCAAGGCACTAAGAACATAAAACATTCCTGGAACTATAAGGCACTGGAGAAAATTTTATTTACCAGAACTTCTCTCAGGGAGCATTCCATAAGTGGTTGGAAGGAATAAGTTGCTAAGACTCCTCAAGTGTGTATGTTGGGTGTGGGAAAGAAGAAGCTAGACAGTGAGACCCCCAAGGGACCTGCCTAACAAAAGATGGTTACCAGACACCTTCTAAGGAAGGTGGGCCCAGTGGAGGCTGCGAGTCTGGGGCAAGGCCCCATTCTCAGGCCAACAAGGCAATTCTGAGGCTGTCCCAGCAGTAAGACCATCCTTCTTCACCCTTCCCCTACCCAGCACACAGCTTCTCCATTAAACACATGTTTAAAGAGCTTTGGTTTGAAGAGGTGCCTAAGCTGTTGATGCCCAGGTGCCCAGACATCTTGGTGTGGTCCTGAAAGCTGGCTCCAACCTCCTCAGGCCCTTGCAGGGTCAGCCAGCCAATCTTGCAGCTCTACATGGACCAGAGCCTGTCTCAGACTCCAGCCCACCTTCAGTCATTCAAACGGACCTCCCAAACCCAAAGACGGAGAGACTTTCCAAAGCATTGAGCCAGCTGAGGCCAACACACTCCAGGGCCAGCACAAAGAACTCTCTCCTCCAGGCCCAGACCAGAAGTGCTAAGCCCAAAGAAAAAGAACGCTGAGGGCACCAGTTCAGCCCTGCACCATCAGAGCGGCTCCCCATCTAAGACAGACTGGCTCCTGACTGTGAATAGCCAGGACCTTTGGGGCGAGGTGGCCTACAGCGGTGGAGGCAGTTTCACTTCAGAAGAAACTGATGACGGGAACCAGCCAGTGCTGCAACAAGCCACCTGGGTGGGGTGGGGGTCGTGCACTCCCACAGCTATGGCTGATTGAGCACCTACTGGTTACCAGGCACCATGCAGTGAACACTGTATGCACTATCTCATTTAATTCTCACAACAGCCCTTTGCATAGGAAATATTGTCCCCAGATTACAGATGGGGACATCAAAGCACAAAGTAGTGTAGTGACTTGACCAAGGTCACCCGCCAGTCAGCGGTGGAGTGTGACTTGGAAGTCCGTGCTCTTCCCACTCTTCCCTCATCAAAGTTATTCTTGCCCTCTGGCTACTGTAAAACAAGATAACAAATTTTAAGCCTAACATTATAGTCCTCAGATTCTTATTCCCTCAGGGAATCACCGGGGAGCCGCTGTCCACCACTGCCCCTCCAGGAGATACTGCCCCACCACCTCTTCCCCACCTCCTGCCCTCAGCAGGCCTGTCCTCCCACTGCCCCCTCCCTGCTCCTGCTCAGCACAGCAGGCCTCAACACATTAGGAAGAAGCAACAAGGCCAGCGAGCTGACACTTGGCTGCTCACTTTCTTCACGTCGCCTCTCCCCCCAGATCCAGCAGAGCGACCACCTCAGCTCCTTTTGCAGCCAGCCAGACCAGGTCCCAGAATGGCCAGCACTTTTAGCAAGAGAAGAGACCTGAATGACTCACAAATGGGGGGATGTAACTGTGCCTGTGGCTGGCACCAGGATATCAAAGGGAGAGGCTGTGGTCCAGGCACTGGACAGCGGGCACACCAGCTGAACGGTGCTCACCCTAGGTCAGCCTTTGTGGGTGTCTCAAATCTTCCCTGGTGCTCCAGCTGGCTTCCTGTCAGCTTGGCTGGTCCCCAGCCCCCCGCAGTCCATTCCTGGCTCCACTTGGCTCTGGCCTGCATCTAACTAACCTCTTCTGCAGCAAACATCCCCTCCTGATTATGCCTGCCTTGGTTCTGTGTTAAACACCAGTGTGCTATCCCTGCGCACTGCCTACCCAGTGGCAGAGGGGGGATGCCTGCCAGGCAGCAGCAGGGATACCAGCCCAAATTCAACCTTGCCATAGGAAAACCAGAGAACAGTGTCAAGAATTGATGGGTCATGCTCACTTTGGCTCTGGTGCTCTACAGAGCAATGGTAAATCCACTCAGTAGACCCAGTGAAATGCCAAGGGGAGAGACATTGGAACACAGGGCCTCTTGCCAAGAGCTGGTTGCCTGGATCCAAGTTCTAGGCTTGAGCTGGCCCCAAGCTCAATTCAGAGGTTCAAGCGTCCAGGCTGGCTGAGGAGAAGGAAGGCAGCCCAGGCTGCGGCCGCTCGTGAGGCCCTTACCTTGCTCTCGGTGGGCGATGCTGCCAATTGTTGCTGCTTAGCGATGTTCTCCGACAGACACCAGCACACTCTCTTCTTCTGCTCCTGCGAGTGTGCTTCCAAAGTGAATAAGCACTCTGCCTTCTGACGTCAGAGAAAATAGAGAAACGGACGGTCAGGGCTGCTCCCTGGTTCAGGGGGGTGCTCCCGGTTCAGGGGGCTCCCCGGCCCAAGCCCATCCCTGGGCTCCAAAGGGAGAGGGTGCAGCAGGGAGGGGAGTGTCAGCTAAAAGCCACAAATGCACACTAATCCTTGGTGGCATCGAGGCAGCCAGAGGAGCAGGGAAGCCGGTTTAGGGGCCAGCTGGCAAGCCGTGTGCCCACGGGCTGGGAGAGGGGAGGGAGGCTGGTGGTTCCCAACACAGTGGAGGCCTGTGGAGAGCTGCTGGACAGAGATGGTGAGGTCACCCCCGGGGGCAGGCAGCACAAGGCAGCTACTGGGGAATCCAGAGGGACAAGGTCTTGGACTGAGGCTCTATGGAGCCAGGGCCCCTCCCCCAAGTTCCAGAACCCGCTCCCCCACCTCAGCACACTTATCTAATCCCAAGGCCAACACACAAGGCCAGATGCATGGATGGACAGACCTACCAACTGGACCCAAGCAGCTCCTCTGGTCCCTTTAGAGAGTCTTTGGTGGATAGTCAGGTGGCCCTCTGCAGCCCTCCAGTGCCTGGCTCATGATCTGGGTCTGATTAATGGCTGCTCAGCTCAATTGAGTGCAGCAACATCTCTGGCACGGCTGTCATTTAAATCCCATTTTGCTATTTAAGGAACCCTGGTGGCACAGTGGTTAACAGCTCAGCTGCTACCCAAAAGGTCAGTGGTTTGAACCCACCAGCTTCTCCGCTGGAGAAAGATGTGGCAGTCGCTTCCATAAAGATTTACAGCCTTGCAAACCCTATGGGCAATTCTACTCTATCCTATGGGGTTGCTATGAGTCAGAATCGACTTGACTGCAATGGGTTTGGATTTTGGATCTGGGTGGCACAATGGTTGAAGTGCCGAGCTGCTAACCAAAAGGTCAGTGGTTTGAACCCACCAGCAGCTCCACGGGAGAAAGACATGGCAATCTGCTTTCGTAAAGACATAGCAGTCTTGGAAACCCTAAGAGGCAGTTCTACTCCGTCCGATAGGGTCATTATGAGTCAGAATCAACTCCACAGCAATGGGTTTTTGGGGTTTTTTGTTTGTTTGTTTGTTTTGCTATTTAATCTTGTTAAGTGCTTGTCTCCCTGACTGATTATAAAGTCCTTCTATGGAAGCCTTTTTCATCTGTGCCTAGCACAGTGCTTGGCATGCAGTGGCCTGGATAATCTCTGGCTGCCTGGAGGAACTTACGGTACGAGGTCAAACCCAGGCCAGCTTTGGCACAAGCCCAGGGAGCTGCTGGGACCCCGGGGATCAGCCACGGAAGCAGTCAGACAGTGCTAAGGGTGGGGCAGGGAGGGGCGGGGCGGGGCAGCATGCCCAGTGTTATCACCCACCACAAGGGTCTGATCAGGGATTATAAGCCTTTCTGACTTCGCTGGAATTTGATTATAACCCCACAGGGCTTTGATTAGATGAACTCAGCCAGGGAGCCAAGAGCAGAAACTGGATGGCTTGGAACAGAGAGAAAATACAGTGTTTCTATCCAGGCCTTCTTCGTTTCGCAGTTGGACAGGCCTGGTCTAAATCCCAGTTCTACCCGTTCCTAGCTGTCGATTTCAGGGAATTCCCAAACTCTCTGGAAAATGGCAGTGATAATGGCATCTCCTACTTTGCAGAGCTACCGGGAGGGCAAGCAATAAGGACAATTGCGGGCCTCAACAGACACGGCAATTGTTATTGCTCAGTAATTCATCCGTTTAATACATATGTGTTGATCCCCTGCTAGGTGTCAGGGACTGTACTTGGCACTGGGGATAAAGAGGTAAATGAGACAGACTAAGCCCTTGCCTTCAGGTTGGGGGGCAGAGACAATAAACAAATAAACTACAGAATTACAAACTGTGTAAATGCCATGAAGGTCATAAAGGAAAAAGTCCTACTTGAGCTAGGTGGCCAGAGAAGGCCTCTCTGAAGAGGTGACACTTGAGCTGGGACCTGAACAGTAAGCAGGAGCCACCATGGAAAGTACCTGGGGAGTCCTGTTCCAGGCAGAAGGAACAGCAAATGCAAAGGCTCTGAGCTGAGGATGGTTATCAGCATCATCTAACAACATTCAGGGACATTTTCTACCCTGCCATCCAAACCCAACCCTCAGGCATGCCACCCTCAGGGCAGGGCCACGTCCCTAGGCTAAGTGGTCCAGGATGCCTGCCATTCCTCCCCTGCCCAACAGCACTCAGAAGTGGATCTTCCTAAAAACATCAGAGGAGAGAGGGAAGAAAACCCCACCCCTTTGCTTCAGGGAACTGGGTGGATGTGGGAAGGCAATCCTGGAGCTACCACTTAACAGGTTCCCTCCACTTCCCAGAACCCATGGCCCATGCAGCGGAAGGGCATATCCAGTAAAAGACCCCAAGCTTCCCCAGGGAGAAGGCAGTGGGGCAGAATCTGACCAGAGCGCATTCTGTTCAGTGTCTTATCTTGTCCCTCCCTGTGAAGGGAGGGGTGAGGCGGGAACCATGTCCCTTCCAACTTGAAAAGGCCATCACTCCATAAAGCTAGCCCTGGCCTGAGCCTCCCAGCCCTGCCTCTACCTAGCTGTGTGGGCTTCAGCAAATCCCTCAATCTCCCTGAGCCTCAATTTCCTCCCCTCTTTCTGTTCTGAAGCTCAAATTCCACCTTAGTAATAATTCCTTTTCTCTGTCAATTTTAAAAAGCATTTTCTAATCCATAACCTCATTTTGATCTTGACAATTCTGTGAAGAGGTAAGGAGGGCATGGATTGTTATTCCCATTTAATTGAAGGGAAAACTAAGGCTCCGAGTGGCTAAGAGCCTCCCTGAGGTGGCATCGCCAGTGAGTGGCAGAGGGAAGACTCAATCCCTTGGAGAACCAGCTGCTAGGATTTCATCTCTGAAGTCTGGGAGGTCTCTTCAGAAGCCCCCACACCACTGGGTGGCAGGAATGCTCTCCCTTGCAGACTAGAGCCTGGAGGCAACCAGAGTGCAAAATTCTGCAGAAGAGACTTTGTAGGCCAGTGGCTTCAGAGCAGCTACAGGGTCCACTGGCAGCTTTTTGTACAGCTGTCCACTGCTCTGAGCTCCAGTCTGGCAGCCCTTCTCGCAAACATGCAAGAAAGCCTCCCCACACTGGGCAGACCTCACAGCAAGAGAGCTGCCCGCTCCCTAACCCAGAGACAGCCGTCTCACACTCCATGCCCCGCACGGTGCTCTGCATTTTACCAGCGGAGTCTGATATTTCTTCTAACAACCTTGTAAGGCAGCAGCTGTGATCATCCTCATTTTACTGACACCCACAAGAACAACCCTCACCACACCTCATGGAGAATCTCCTTTGAAAACCAAATTTCTCCACCCAGGATGGAGGCCATATTGCCAGCCTCACAGGAGAGTGCAGCGCTGGCTCTCTGGCTCTGAAAGCTTGAGGCTGAAGGTCCCATAAGGCTAGAGGACCCAGAACACTTCCGAAGCATCAAGGACCTACACCCAGGCCTGGCCTGGGGCAGGGGCATGCTGTCTTAGATGTTGTTGTTAGCTGCCATGGAGTCAATTCTGACTCATAGCGACCCCATGCGTGCAGAGTAGAACTGCTCCATACGATTTTCATGGCTGTGACCTTTCAGAAGCAGCCGCCAGGCTTGTCTTTTGAGGCGCCTCTGGGTGGGTTCAAACTGCCAACCTCTTGGTTAGTAGTCGAGCGCTTAACTGTTTGCTGTCTTACATGGGCAAACACTTTCAGGAGGCCCTTGCCCCGAAGGCTCCTCTCTAAGTGCTGCCTGGAGCTTTGGAGGCTGGCCTGGCCAAAAGAGAGAGCTCCAAGCCAGCTCCCTCCAGGTAGGGTGAATTCCCATCTACCGGGGCATCTGCCACCTACTTGTCTGTCTCTCTGTGTGTCTAAATCCGGGACCCCCACTGCCTGCCTGCCTGCCTCTGCATGTGCACCGGCTCTCTTAACCCATTGTGTGATTCAACTAATGCAGCTGATTGGTTTCAAAGCTGATGGCATTGTGCTCTCAAACTAGGGTGGTCACCTAGCGCCAGCTTCTCCAGATGCACAGGCCCCAAACACAACAGCACTGGGTCCGGCCCTTTGCACTGAAACATGAGCACCCCCAAATTCAACCACACACCCAGTACCCCCATCGTGCCTCACCTCCTTGCTCCTGAATTAATACCTCACGTCCTTGTTCCTGAATTAATTTTATTTTTGTAAAAACCAAAACCTCTTTTGCTATGATTTAACTTTGTTCGTTTGCTTTGACATTTAATTCCATAACTAAAAGGTGGGCAGTTCGAATCCACCAGCCACTCCTTGTAAACCCTATGAGGCAGTTCTACTCTGTCCTGTGGGGTCACTATGAGTCGGAATCAACTCAATGGCAACGGGCTTAATGATCCTATAAGGATCCCTAGTGGTGCAACGGTTAAGCACTCAGCCGCTATGGAAATGTTGGAGGTTCAAATCCAACCAGTGGCTCCCTTGGGAGAAAGACCTGGTGATCTGCTTTCATAAAGATTACAAGTCTAGGAAACCCTATGGGGCAATTCTACTCTGTCACATGGGGTCACTGTGAGTTAGAATTGACTCAGTGCAATGGCACCTAACAACAATAATCCTATGACGTAGGCAGGGAGGAAAGGCATTGCTGTTACCATTTTTCAATTGCAAAAACTAAGGCTCAGAGAGGTTAAGTCATTGGCTCCAGTAGGTCTCAGGAGAGAAGACACTCAGATTCTGTCTTCTTCCTCCTCCAGAGCCTGTGATCTTGCCATATTTGCATAACTGTATATGTACGTTACAAAGAACGTGTGATATTTCTCTTAGCTTTCTTTTTAAAAGATCAATAAATCATTTGTGATGTATTTAATGGAGAGTAAATGAATATGAAAAGCTCTCCCCCTTGCTATGACGCTGACAATAATAATAGCTACCATTTATTGAGCACTCACTGTGTGCCAGACTCTGTGCCAAGTGCTTTGGACACAGCATCTTATTGAATCTCATTGAATCATGACAACAACCCTGCGAGGCAGGCATCATCAGCCTTCTTTCAGAGATAAGCCTGTAAGTTGCCCCCGATCACTCAGGAAACGGCAGCGCCAACATTCAAATCTAGGTCTTTCTAACTCCAAAACCCAGACTCTTAAATCAATGGAGGCAGCATCAGATTCTAGATTATAAAATGGCCCCGACCCACATGCCCATCAACCCAATGCCCCCAGCGCTCTGAAGCCAGTTGTGTGCTGCATCTGTCTATGGATCTGCAGGCACTAAGGGACAATTGGAGTCCTGGTGGCATAGTGGTTAAAAGCTTGGCTGCTAACCAAAAGGTTGGCAGTTCGAATCCACCAGCCGCTCCTTGGAAACCCTATGGGGCAGTTCTGTTCTGTCCTATAGGGTCGCTATGAGTCAGAACTGACTTGATGGCACTTAACAACAACAACAACAAGGGGTAACTGTCCAGTAGAACAGAGACCCCAGGGCCAAGACTGCTTAGGAAAACCCCATCCAGGACCTTGTCGCTAGGGAAACATCTGAGCTACCGCCACCCAGGCAATTGGGGTTTTCTCAATGTAGAATAGAAAAACCTCTCCAAATCCTGACTCCCCTCCCCATGATTTCTTGTCTGGGTGCCATAATTCATGTTAGGAAGTTCCAACTACTATGTGAGTTTGGAGTTTTCTGTGGAATCCAATATTACCCGTGTCAAGAATTTCCCAAGCTACAGAGCAAGCAGATGTCTTCCCTCCATTACAGACAAGCCCCTCATAAATAACAATCCATTAAGAGAAACGGGAGGCTTCTAGCTGCCTATGAGCTTCAATCCCCCAACCCTGCACAGTCAGATCACCTGGCACTTTACTGAAATAAAAGGCCCCAGATCGATATCCCTTCATCAATCTTTGGAGGGCTAGGAGGTCACAGCTCCCTAGAAACCAATGCAGCAGAAATGCTTTTCTCTGGGAAAAACAAACCCAGCCTGGCAGGAAGCTTTCTTTGCATTAAAGAACCTGGGTCTCATTTCAGGCACTGCCAAAGAGACTGAGAACCCAGAGTGGTGGGGTGGAGAAGCCTGCTCTCATCACAGAGAGGCTCTGGCTCTTCCCAGCATGGCTCACAGCTTCCCCTAAGCTGTGCTCTGCTCACCCAGCTCTGTGCAACTGAAGACCACTGCCCGCTTTGCAGCGTCTCCACCTGCTACTTCCTGTGCGTTGGTAGGGATGTGGCTGACACAGGGGAGGACATCCAGTGCCCTCTTGGCCCTCAGTTCTGCACTGCAGTCAGCCGGGATCCCACACTCTGCTCTGACAATGTCCACTGCCTCTTTGGAACTCTCCGCTTTCCTCTGAAGCTAACTTCTCATCAACTCTGTCTTCTCCCCCATGGGTCTGTTCAAAGACTCACGCCAGGTGTTGCACTGCTTGTCTTAGCCAGGAATTGAAGGAATGATCTTCAGTCATAGCTGCGGACTAATTCCTTCTCTAAAGGATGTATTCCTCTTGGCCAGCTAGTGTAGACCGTGCCCCGACCCCTAGGGCATGGCCAGTGTAGACTCCCACAAGACAGGTTTTCAAGACTGTTGGGTGAGACAGATTTAAGTGGAGGCTGATGGCAGGAATGGGTCTAAGGAATCCTTGCTTGGAACAGACACTGCCCTGCTCATGTTAGCAGAGATATAAGGTTGGGAATAGAAAAGTCACTGAAAACTGAAAAGAATTCGCAAGGCTCAGTGTCTCTCAACCTTTTCTTCACCAAGGATCTTTGATTAAACCCCTGGTTTAATGCTATCATATTGCATTTTATCTACCAAATTATATGAAGCAATAAGTTGTTGACTTGTTTTTTGCTCACCCAAGGCACAGCACTGCTCATCAGAGCTTCTGAACAGACTGACATAACTAGGAATATCAATCACACTGAGTGGGTATCACTCCATCCCCAAACACAGCCACTTGATGTTTTCTTTAGCCTGCATTATCCAGCCCAGGTAAAGGTACAATTACCAGCAGGCCTTTTGAAACCCTGACAAGACCCTGTAAAAGGGGTCATGGAGGAAGAATGAGGCAGACACAAGAATCAAAGAAATATCCGGAGGAAAAAAAAAGCAAACTCGTTGCCTTCGAGTAGATTCCAACTTATGGCAACCCCATGTGCTACAGAGTAGAATTGAGCTCCACAGGATTTTCTTGGAGACCCTGAATGGTGCAAATTTTTAAGCACTTGACTACTGGCCGAAAGGCTGGCAGTTCGAACCCACCTGGAGTCACCTCAGAAGACAGGCCTGGTGATCTGCTTCCAAAAGGTCACAGCCTTGAAAACCCTATGGAGCAGTTCTACTCAGCACACACAGGGTACCCATGAGTTGAATCAACTCGACAGCAACTAAAAACAACAAAAACTCTTTACAGAAGCAGATCACCAGGACTTTTTCCACAGCGCAGCTGGGTGAGTTCAAACCCACAATCTTTTGGTTAGTAGTTGAGTGCAGCCAGTTTTCATCACCCAGGGACACACTAAATAAACAAACAGGGGGACGCACAGCTATCAGGCCACATCCTTGTTAGAAGCCCCACAGGTGGCCCTGAGCAGGGATCACAAGCGTCCTTCTGCCCATTCTAAGCACTTCCTTGTCCACTGCTCTTTTTACACAGAGGTAAGGGAGGCAGGGGCAGAGGCAGCACAAGGAACTGGCTTTCTGGCCTTCTCCAGGACCACTGCATGTGTTGGTGTGGAAGCTGGTATCAGAATCCTGCCCAACATCTTCCCTCAAGGCACCTGGCCACGTATCTCTCTCCTCAAATTCAGAAAGAAGGACTCACCTCTGCGAGGTACAGCACGCAGAATTTCAGATCTTCGGAAGAACCTATGAGGGAACAAAAAGCAAGACTTGCATTAGAATTGGCCAAAGAGTCTCAGCAGTCTGAGCACAGCCAGCTGTCTTGTCCAGTGTGGTGCTTCCTGGAAAAAGAGGGAGAAAGAGGCAGACACGAGGGACAGAGAAACCCCTGGAGCAAAGGCCACTAGATAAATAAACGAGGTGATGCACAGTTATCAGGCCCTTGTCTGTAGGTCAGCCTGGCCCCAAGGAATGCTGTACTCCTATCTCCATGAGAGGTAGCCAGGAGCAGGGAGCCATCGTACGCCAGGAGGCCTCCTCCTTTCCATGATCCTTGCAGTGAGGGACATCCAGGCAGCAGACATTTAGGTTTTCCCTTTAAATAATCCAACTGCCTCAGCTATTTTGAAATTCAACATGGAGCTGTTTAGTTCCTGTGTGGGCTTTGCTATGCAACTAGGAATGTGTGGGCGGCAGGGAGGGACCCCACTCATACGCTGAGAGGAGCCCAGAGATGACCTCCCGGCCCAGATCTGACCCCTCTGTGTGTTTCCCTAGAGTCTTCACACCCCTGGCCTAGGATCCCAAACCCAATCATTGGCCAAGCCCTCTCCATCTGGGAGGCAGCTGGGAGGGACCATCGCTGCTCCATCCTCCTCCAGCAGGAGATAAGGCAGAATCCCTACCCTAAGGCAGGAGATGACTGAATCAGAGTTTGTGGGAATTGGGGGCTCATGTAGAAGAAAAGAGACACCAAGACAGCAGACACTTGGCTTTTCCTTTAAGCAGTACAACTGCCTTTGCCATTTTGAAATTCAACAAGGGTGCATTTGATTCCAGAGTGGGCCTTGCTTCCCACCAAGGAACGCATGGGCCAATGAAGAGAGGATCCTCTTCATTGAAGAGGGGAGCTGGGTGGAGTTGAAAGATGGCTTCGCCCAAGTCTGACCCCTCTGTGTGTTTTGGAGCCCTCTCACCCCTGGTCTAGAATCTCAAACTCAACCATTCACCAAGCCCTCTCCACTGGGAGACAAGCCAGGTAGGTTGTTGTCTCCATTCCCCAGATACGGAAGCTGAGGCCCAGGGAGGGAAAACAGCTTGTACAAGTCATACAATAAGTAAGTGGCAGAGCTGAGATTTAAAGCCAGGACTATCTGCCTCCAAAGCCTGTGTTCCTGACCACAGCGTCACACTTCGTCTACCTCTACCAGTTTACTTATCTGTCATTCCCCCAGGCTATGAGCTCCACAGGGCTGCAAATGTGTCTCCTCCACTGCCATTGCCCAGTGGCCAGCACTGAGGTGGGCTCTGAGGAGGTGCTCAGAAAATGCTGCCTAAGATTTAACTCCAAGGGTTCCAGCAGCCAAAACCTAAGCAGCTGAGTTCCCAAGACTGGACACCTGGCTCCCCGGGGTGGGTGGAGAGCCCAAGAATCAGCTGGACATTTCCAGGCCACTCCTGAGAGATGGGAGCAGGCCAGGAAGACATGCTGTGGGTGGGTCACTGGACGCCTGGGAGGCAGAAACACAAAGAGCCACAAAGCTAGCAGGCGGCAGTGGCAGGAAGAGACCACAATGGGCCCTGGCTGACCGGAGATGTTAGCGCCAGCTCTCCGCCTGTTCCCATTACACTGCCATCCAGCCCCTCTGAAGCCTGGGGGAGGCTGGGCAGGAGGAGGGCAGGCAGAGTTTAAGTGGCCACCCAGCCAGGAGTCCTGCAGGAGGGGTGCACCCCAGCTCCCGAGCTGAGGCAGTGCTTCTGGTCTCCTTTCGGTCTTTCATTCATTCATCCAACAGACATTCAGTGGGCACCCAGGATGTTCTGTGCCCCATGCTAGGTAGGTCCTGCGAGTACTCTCGGTCAGAGGAGCTAAGGACCCTTCAGACAAGTCACACAGAGAGACTTTGGTTCTGGGGTGGGGCAGATTTCCTCTGCCAGGGAGCAGGCCTCACCAGCCCCAGCCAGCAGGAAAGGCTGGGTGTGTTCCTTGTTTACCATCTTCTTTGCCCCAACTTGAACTCTCCACACATGCCAATTTGAAAGAGACAAACAAGAAACCTAGGAGTCGTGAGCAGTGTTAATCAGAGGCCATTCTGCCAACAGAAGCTCCAGCTGAGGCCCCAAATGCATCTTTTAAAAGCCTCACTCAGGCCCTTGCTGCAGCCGCGGGTCTCTGGGGGCACAGGAGAGGCAGGCAGCAAATCGGGCACCAGGACTCAGAACACTGGGTCCTGCAGCTCCAACTCCAACTGCAGGAGAAGGGGTCACCAGACTCCTGTGAGACCCACAGGCCTGTCTCAGGGAAGTAGGGGAGGGAGAAGCAAGGGCACCTTTAATGCCTGGAAAGAAGTCTAAGCATTGGAATGTGCACCTTGAGGGCTCAGTATCACTCAGCCATATCCTTCACTCGCAGAAGCTCTCAGGTGAGCCACATTCCCTGTGTTTGCTGACTGACATTGCTAAACCCACTGCCATCAAGTCAATTTGATTCCGACTCATAGCTACCCTATAGGACAGAGTAGAACTGCCCCTACAGGGTTACCAAGGCTAATCTTTACAAAAGCAGACTGCCACATTTTTCTCCAGAGGAGCCGCTGATGGGTTTGAACTGCCGACCTTTAAGTTAGCAGCCAAACTCTTTAACCATTGCACCACCCGGGCTCCTTACTACCACTGCTAGGGAAGGCAAAACAATTTGTCTGCCCCAAACTGCCTGCCCAACAAACCCAGGGCAGGCACACACACACACACATATATACCCTTCTCCCACACCTACCCAACAAGCTCTAAAGGCTGTGGTCATCTCTCCTGAGGAGGGCTGGCCTTGGCCACCCTCAGCCCTCATCTAGCTTACCCACCATCTGTGGGGAGAGGAAGTGGTCCTAGACCAAGAAGCCATGCCTGCACAAGGCTGCTGATCACAGGCAGCTCGGCATCTGGAGGGTTATTCTGCAACACCTCCAGGCCCCACACAGCCAACCCTGACTGTCACCAGCCAGTGGAGGATGGAGCGGAGGTCTGGGGGTTCCAGAAGGGGAAGGTTAAGACAATCCCTAGTCCAGGGCCCCCTGAGGGGTGGGGGCAGGACGGTAAGGGTGCTGTTCTACTTCTCTCAGCAACCCTGGCACTGGGGTCCATCCAGGGATGTCAGAGCTGGGAGGGAATATAAAGGTTGACCCAACCCTTATTTCATAGTCAGAGAAACTGAAGCCCCCAAAAATGACAGGACCAGCTGAAGTCACACAACATGTTAGTAGCCAAGCCAAGCCTAGACCCTTAAACTCCCAGCTTCTACCCTTGGCTCTTCCACTGCTCTCTTCTCCCTCACCCCACTCTCCCCTCAAAGCACAGCCACTTTGAGCCTCCCTTCTTTTAGGCTCCTGGGCTCGCGGACCCAGACCTGGGAATCAGAGCAACAGAATAACGGTTCTGTTCTTGTTATCACTCAACACATATTACTGAGTACTGCTCCCACCCCAGTACTCCTCAAATTTGAGTGGGTCCTAGCACATAAATCAATGGGACTTAGATTGTCTGAGCTGGAGAGAGAGGGACAGACAGGAAGGGACTGGGCAGTGTGAGTGTGTGTGAGTGTGTGTGGGAGGCAGTGTGGGAGGGAGGGGGAATGGGAGTGTGCGTGTGAAAGTGGGGGAAGCTGGTGTGAAGGACCGAGGGAGGGGCAGGGGCGAGGCGAGGCAGGCAGGTGGCAGCAAAGCCAAGGGCAGAGTCCTTGGTAGCTCTACCCAGCTCTCCTTCCAGCAGGCACAGGGGAGCACCTGGTGGGAGCCCTGATGGCACTCAGAGGACTGTCCCTCAGCCCTGTCCTTGGTCAGACTAAGCCCACCAGAGGCACAGGTTGGCCAGAGTAAGTTGACTTGCTTTTCCTCTCAGCAGCCACCCTGGTCAGTCAGTGGGCAGGAGAAAGTCAGAGCCACAGAAGAAGAAGTTGTAAGCGACTTCCTGTAGGGACGCAAGTGAGAAGTTTCTCACACTGGCTGGTTTTCCAAGGAGGAAGAACGGCCAGGGCACCGAGCACACAGGATGGGTTTGCAAACAGTCAGGAAGTTTTCCTGGAGCAAAAACCGTCAAAACAGAATTCTTTCACTGGGTAATATTTTCCTCCCTGCCCCTGTCACCATGCTCAAACAGGTCTGTTGTTGTTTTCATAATCTGGGAGAGGAAATCGAGCCCCTCTCAGCGGAGACCTCAGGCGCCAAACTAAACCACTCGACAGATACTCCCAGCTGGCTTCCCGTTCCCCGAGTGTAGGAGGGCATGATGGAAAGTTTGGAATTCACTTCATGCTCCCACATCCCACTGCTCATCAGCCCACATGCTCCAGCTCCCTCGACTCCGCCAGGGCAGTACATCTGGGTGAAGAAGGAGCAGCGGTCCCTCATCCAGGTGGCACCCAGCATTTACTGGGCATCTGTTGTGTGCCGGGCACTTTGCATAGATGACTTAATTTAATCTTCACAACAATCTTTTGAGATACTATTATTATCCCCACTCACACATGAGGAAACAGGCCCAAAGAGATTAAGTAACTTGCCCCAGGTCACATAGGTAGTGAGGGGTTGGGCCAAGATTTGAACACAGGTCTGAGTCCAAAGCTCTTCCCACTCTACTCCACTGCCTCGCTGGAACATCTCTGGAACAGAAACTTCCCAGCGAAGATTAGGGTGTATAGAGAGGCTTATCAGCCTAGAATGGAATGTCAGTGTCTGAGGACCTACCAGTCCAGGCACAGAGCCTAGCACCACTGCCAGAGCCCGCAAGAGCCCACACACCCATCACATACAACACCCAAGATGGAAACAAAGACAGATTCTCCTGTCCTGTGAGGATCAAATGCCCCACTGACAGCTGGCAGAGGGGCACTCAACCTCGGCATTCATGCTGCCCAGAGCCGGTGGCCAGTGGGGAGGGAGCCCAAGGCATCTCAGGCCTTTACTCACCTTCCTGCAGCTTCACACTCTGGAGGTAGAGGGGGTTCCTCAGGACGTTGCAGCGGCCTGGCTCGTCCTCCTTGGTGAACAGCAGCAGGTCCGAATAGGCAAACAGCGTCACCTGTGCCAGGAGACAGCAAACAGAATGGAACACACACACGCACACTACCCAGTCCCTTCCTCTTTGTCCCCCTCTCTACCTCAGACAATCCAAGTCCCATTGATTTCTTATGCTATAGGACTCATTCCAATGTGAGTATTTGGTGGGGGCGGGGAGTGGTGCAGTACTCAGTAATATGTGTCAATTGATGACAAGAACGAAATCCTTACTCTGTTACAGGACCTTTGTTTTCTCAGCCTCCTGCTAAAAGGCTCAAAGTGGCTGTGCTTTGGGTGGGGAGTGGGGTGGGGGAGAAGAGGGCAGTGGAAGAGCCTGGCTGCTCCACTGTTCCCTGGAGGCCAGGAGCCACCACCTCCCCTGGAAGTCTGCAAAACATGTCCTTGTCATCTCGGGCAGAACCAGGAACAGACTTTCAGTGTGGCCTCAGCCCAGAGCAGAGACCTGACATGCAGTCCAGACTGCCTCTGCTCCTCCAACATCTCAAAGTAGGAAAAAATACACAGAAAAATAAACAACCCTCACCTTTCACAGCAGACAGCCTCTACAAGCCTCCCTATAACCTGATGCCCTCACAGGTCCACCTATTTGACCAAATGACCCTGGAGTCTCTAGCCCAGCACCCTGGGCTTGGAGCTACCCTTGAACTATAGAATGTTCCACATTTGCTTTTATTCTACTTTAAGCGTCTGGTTGAAAGAACACTGGACTTGGAGTCAAAAGTCAGGAGGCTCCTATCTAAGCTCTGCCACTAACTAGCCAAGAAAAATTGTAAGTTCCCTTAAGCCCTGTCAACCTCAGTTTCCTCATCTGTACAAACAGCAGTGAGAGTCCCTGCCTGGATTTCTCAGGGTCTTCTTTCACAAGCTCTTTGTACACTGAGAAGTGAAGCATCATGAAATGTGAGGTATTATTACTAAATTCCTTGCAGATGATTTTAACTACATTAACACGAGATCAGCTGAAGAAAAAGCAAGTTACTTATGCTCCAATACAGACATGTACATAACTTTGATCTTTTATGTACTAGCTGCTCCAAAAATAAAGGTGAAAGCTATTTTTAGACATCATAGGTAAACCAACAGGTATGCTCAGCATATTTTTATGTTAAAAAAATCCACTCGGAAAAAAAATCCACTTGGGAGAAAAGATCCATTTGATCCTCTCATGCTTCTAAAGATTACACTGTTCTTTGTTTTGTAAATTCTGCAGTGGCCTTTAGTTAAAAGCAATAAAATCCAATCTTAGATTCTCCAAAGAAAACAAAATATTATTAATGATGTGAAATTTTCTTTTAATTATGTGAACCTGACACTTCCTCTCTTCTGAAGTAAGAAGTGACAAGTGTTTTGCATGTACTAAGGGGCACAGTGAGTGTGTGTTGGATTGTTGCTGAACTTTACAAAGTCAACGTGTTGACATTTAGCTACCAAGATGGCCCAACAACTCCACTTTTAAGACTCTATTCTACAGAAACACTTACAAGGATATATAAATATGAACATGTAAGGATGTTCCCAGCAGCATTCTTATAATAAAAAAAGAAAATAACATAAACGATCACTAAGAGAGGAGGAACAAAATAAATTACACTACAAAAAGTTGGCAGTTCGAATCCACCAGCCGCTCTTTGGAAACCGTATGGGGCATTTCTACTCTGTCCTATAGGGTCACTATGAGTCGGAATCGATTCGACAGTAACAGTTTGTTGGTTTGTTTTTTAACCTTCATATGGTAGAATCTTACATAACTATTAAAAGAATAAAGAAAGGAGCCCCTTTGGTGCAAAGGGTTAAGTGCTCAGCTGCTAACCAAATGGTTGGCAGTTCAAACCCATCCAGAGGCTCCGCAGGAGAAAGACCTGGCAATCTGCTTCCATAAAGATTACAACCTAGAAAACCCTATGGGGCAGTTCTACTCTGTCACACAGGGTTGCTATGAGTTGAAATCAACCTGATGGCACCCAACAACAACATGTGGGCAGAAATGGAAATCTGTCCCTCATAAGTCAAAATAGTAAAAAGTGGAAAAACACTCATATTAAAATGCGATTTTGTGAAACAAAACTATAGACCTGTATTTATGTACTTTTTAAAGATACTCACCACACCCTCCACGTGGTTTTCTCTGGGGAGTGGGATTTTACTTTTTACACTTCTGTTTAATTTTCATTTTTGCAATGAGACTGTTACTTTTGTAATTTAAAATATATATACATTTTTTTTGAAGGACCATCTGTCTTCCTGAGGGTAGCACAAACAGAGAGGTTTGAGATAATCTGAGCTACAGAGACAATAGGGGGACGTTCCTGAGCAGGAGGCTCTCGGTGGTTCTGGCTTCTCAATGGGGTCCAAACTCTAGGGCACTGGGACCCTGGGCTGGAAGGGGCCCTGGTGATGACCTTATCCAACACCCTTCCCACCACAGCCCAGCAGAAGCCTCCATTTGTTGAGCACTTACTTTCTGCTCAGTGGATCCTCACTGTAAATAACATCACTGCCTTCCTTTACAGATGAGGATCCTATAACTCAGAGAGGTTAAGCAACCTGTCCAAAGCCACACAGCCAGAGACCATTACCCAGTTCTAGATGACCCTAAAGCTCGCACTATATAGAGTAGCAATATGCCTACAGCCATCCCATCCCTGAATGTGAAAGAATCTAAACTGGGACCAAAAAAGAGGACAAAAGGAGGGAAAGGAAAAATATTAATGAAGTTAAGAGAGGAGAAGAAAATGATCCAAGAGCTCAGAAGGATTTGAGGGGTTGATTGTCGGAAGAGAGGACTTCAAAATCCAAGCAATGGAAAAGGAAAGGTTCTAAAGCAGCAAGTAACCAATGCAAACCCTCCAGCTCCCCCAGCCTATCTCCCCCACTCAAGGGAAATCTGGCGGCCTCCTAAAGATCCACTAGGAAGCTGGCAGGAAAAAGTTGGAGGAGATGGTTTATCAAGAGCCTAGAAAATCAAAAAGATGGGCCAGGCCCAGAGAGGGCTGGATGGCTGGCAGGTGGGGAGGAGCGAAGAGCAAGGTGAGAAAAGCCCCAGGCCACTCCTCTGGCCCAGATTCCCAGAACTGAGAAAGCGGTCTAGACAGGAAGTGATTAAGGCATGAATGAAGAATTTCCCCAAAGGTCTGGTCAGGGAAAGGACAGAGCTGGCACACAGCTGGAGGCAGGGCAGAGGGGGCAAGCGAGCCAGTGGAGGGCAGGGGGTGCCCTCCCCATCTCACCAGCATCTTGCCGGCCTTGCCCCAGCAAGAGCACAGCAGCCCATAGTAAAGTGATGTCATCTCTATGGCCCATTTACCTGCTGCCTTCCACAATGGGCCCCGTGGGCTGCCCCGTGTCTTCTCCACACTTGCTCCAGGGACACATCTGGTTTCCCAAAGGGTCAAGGGTTGAGGGATCACTCTGTTAGGGAATCTTTGCAACTTGGAGGTTCACTTCTCCCAAGTGGCTGCTAATCAAGCTTCCTCCCTGGAATCTGGCCAAGGGCAGAGTTTGCAGAAAAGACCTTGGCGCCTTAGTTAATAGTAAACTCAATCAGTCAGGGTTTAAAGTGAGGGTGTGTCTGTCTTGTACCCCATCATATCCCTGGAGCCTAGCACAGGGCCTAGCTACGTTGCAGAAGCTTGAACGTACAAATGAGGCTGCTCCAAAATGTTGATGTAATCTCAGGGTGCATTAAAGACATTTGTGACTTTTAGGAGACAGGGCAATGAGGACAGTTCATGGTGTGGGACTGAATCAGTTCACAGACACTAGCAAACTTGACCATGCCCAGAGAAGAGATGGGACAAAGAACCAAGGGGGAACATTGCAGGAATAAAGATTTCTGTTTAGGGTAAAGAACCTTCTACGATTTGGTCCTCTCCAGCAACAAAACTGGCTGCCTGGAGTTGCTGCCACTGCGTATTCAAGCACAGGCTGGAAAACCATCAGCTGCGAATGTTATTGGTGTTGTGTGCCATCGAGTCAATTCAACTCACAGCAACCCTATATGACAGAGTAGAACTGCCCCCAAAGGGTTTCTTAGGCTGTAATCTTTACAGGAGCAGATCGCCAGGACTTTTCCCCATGGAGCCGCTGGTAGATTTGAACCACCAACCTTTCAGTTAGCAGCTGAGCGCTTAACCATTGTGCCACCTGGGCTCCTTCTAGGGATGTTAGAAGCAGGCAATTAGAATAGATGGCTTCTGAGGGCCCAATCAACACTGAGAGTCTATGAATGTATCCAAACCTTTCTTAAATTCGTTTATATTTTGGCCTGAGTAACATGATAGAGTACCAATATCTACATATTTGGTTCCTATCATACTTCAAGAAAAAGAAATGTGTGTATTTAATTTGTCTTCAGATCACTTCCTTCAATCTTTAAAGGGATGTCTCTTAGTTCTAAGGCTCCAAAGATCCACTATGCAAAGATTTTTTGGACAGATTGTAACTGTAACCAGTTATGGCTTCAGCTCGTGTTTGTGTTTTTAAACAAACATGCCAGAGGCAGCATGGGATAATGGAAGGCACTGCTGAGTCAAGACAGATCTGTGTACTAATCCTGGCTCTATCCCTTATGAACCTTGAGACTCTCAGGTCGCAGTTAATCCCACTAGAGCCTCAAGTTCCTCATCTATAGAGTAGGGACAACCATGCCTATCTTATGGAGCTGCAAGAGCTGCAAGAGCTCACTGGGGTCTAGTATGTAAACTGCATGCACAGTGAAGATAAACAGTAGGTGCTGAACATTTGCAGACTAAATGGTTAGTGGTCAGCTAAAAGAACAAAATTAGGCATGTGTATACATTTCAGCATGACTGCCATTTCTAACAGCCATTTTTATGAGTCTTGTGAATTTATAGCCACACCTGACTTACTGACCGTTGGCCACCTGACTTAGCTCCATCACAAACCTTATTCACCAACCCACTGCCATCGAGTCAATTCCGACTCATAGCGACTATAGGACAGAGTAGGGCTCCAAACATAGCTCCAAATGACTTCTTGTTCCTAAAACTCAAACCTCCCTCAACAGATGAAGTTTTACTCCCATGGAGGCAATTCAGAAAATATGCCAAGTTCCTAAGGAAGTTCCCAAAGAGGAGGTCCAGAACATAGTAAGCAATGCCAGTGTGGTAGAAATATGCATAGCCTTCCCAGGGAGCTTTCTCAAAACAGACAATGTTCATTTAGCGTACATGAGTTCCGGTCTACTTGTTTAAAAAACGAAGCCAAACCAGCCTCCTGCTTTAGTCATAATCATACAAACGGCAAGGTAGAAAAAGGCCCTTAGAGATTAGCCAACCTCAGATCTCACCCTCGCTGCCTCAAATACATACAGACCCATTGTTCAGATAGGAAGACTGAGGAAGAAGGGGAAAGTCACGAATGAGCCAGCAGCAGAGCTGGAACTGGCTATAGGCTTCCTACCTCCAAGTTACCCAAGCTGCCGGCTCTGAGTTAGGGCCTGATCTGCAGCAAACACCGTACCCTCACCCACAGGGCCCCCAGGGGCCCAGGAGGATCCCAGGGCTCCAACTTCTGTTCTCAAGTAGACTTAAACTCATGCGACTGAGCTGGAACCTGGCCAGCTCTGGGGATTGTGTCTGTGAGTGAAGTTCCCCCAGTTAGAGATAAGCAAGGGCCAGCACCCAGAAGAATGGCACAGCCCCTCCCTCCACTCCCTTGTCAACAGAGCTAGAGCCCAGGAGAAATCATAGATGACCCCTGAGAAGAGGATTTGGGATCTGGGTTACAGACCCAGAAAACCTGGATAACGGATGCCCCTCTAAAAATTCTCTTTGGCTAACAGTTTTAATCTTCTCACCCACAAAGTTACCCATCACAGCTGAGGTGAACTGCCATCTCTTCTGCTCCTTGGAGGAAGTGGGGAGAAACAACACGATGTCTTTAAGGGCTAGAAAAACTTTCTAATCATCAAAGATGGACTGAACAGCTTTGAGAGGTGATGAGTTCCCTATCACTAGAAGCATACAAGAAAAAGTTGGGTGGCTATTTGGTAAGGAGGGCATGGGAGGTGGGGTTGGAAGACCTTTCCGGTCCCCTCTACCCTGAGATTGTATAATTCTAAGACCATCAGGAAGAGAGAAAAGTTAGGGGCCTGAAGGATGGCCAGTGGACCCACCAGGAAATCCCACCTGGGAAAAGACCATGTGAGTCTTACCTCGGCGGCCTTGTTCCTCCCCTCGTACAGCAGCAGCTCCTCTGACAACAGGAGGGTCCGGGCTGGGTTACAGAGATCTAAAGGCTGAAAACAAAGCAAGGCTGGAGCTGAGTGGGCAGTTCAAAGAGGCCTGGTGGAGACGGTATGGGGAGGGAGGAGGCAGCTTGTCGAACCAGCCACAGAGAACCCTCTCAACAGAGGGAAGCCCACCAGCCCCTCCTCCCCTGCCCCGCCTCTCCTCCCCTAGAACCCACATGCCCCCTCACACATAACACCCAAAATGGAAACAGAAAGACAGACGCTCTTGTCCTGTGCTTAACTGCTGCTGCCACCTTCCCCACCAACCCTTGCTGTGAGAGCTGTGCTCTCTGGCAGGAAGTCCAACCACATGTTTAGGCCCTCTGCACTCCCTCACCCTCCTCCCCCTGGCTCCTGGGCCCGCCCAGCCCCCACACTCTCTGCTCTGCTCAAGCCTCACGTAAAAGTTCCTGCTATCAGGCCCGTGTTCTCAGGGATGCCTCTTGCCCAGCCCTTGACCCACACTCATGCCTTGAGATCCAGTCCAGGCCAGTCCCTGCTCTGCATCCATACCACGCTTTAGCTAACAGTTCCCCAGGGGCCAATTCTCACCCAAATCTCTCACCACACCCCATCATTCTGCCTCAGACTCCCTGAGGAGCTCCCCTCAAGCCCACCCTGTTCAGCCCAGAGAAAGCTCCCTGAGCCCTGGCTTATCCCCATGAATGTAGATTCATAATGAGCCTTCTGAGTACCTGACACCAAACAAGGTGCTTGAAAAAAGATAATGAAACAAATATCAGCTACACACAACAATCTGGATGAATCTTACAAATAATGTGACGTGAAAGAAGCAAGACCCGAAAGGAAACATACAGTATGGTTTCATTAAATAACATCCAAAAAGAGGTCAAACAAAACACGTTATTTAAGGAAGCATACATGGATGGCAAAACTAAAGAAAAGCAACGAAATAGTTATCATAAAGTCAGGCCAGTGAATACCTCTGGTCAGGAGGGAGAGCGTTAGGATCAGGAAGAGCTCTCTGAAGGGATCTGAGGTGGTGGCAACAGTCTATTCCTTTATCTCAGAGGATAAAAGAAAAAGAACAAACCAAACCCATTGCCACTGAGTCAATTCCAACTCATGGCGACCCTACAGGACAGAGCAGAACTGTCCTGTATGGTTTCCAAGGAGTGGCTGGTGGATTTGAACTGCCGACCTTTTGATGAGAAGCTGAGCTCTTAACCACTGCACCACCAGGGCTCCATTTCAGAGGATAGTCACTTCATAATTATTTGTTCAATGGTCCATCTAAAGGGTTATGCTGTTTTGGGTTTATATAGTTCACAACTGAAAAGTTTTAATAACTTTTTTTAAAACTAATTTTAATTTTTTGTAAAAATTTCAAAATGACGATGAAAGACAACCCCCATTAATGCCAAGATCTTTTGTGTTATAGCCTAAGAAAGTGATGAGTCCAACAGAAAGTCAACGGCCTACACATCTGCCTGGAGAGAGGGGCGTCGCCTACTGGAGATAAGGCTACATCCTAACAGAGTGAGTCGTAGGATCCACTGGGCACCAGTTCCACAATACGATGAATGTAACTAAAGTCACTGAATTGTGCACATAAAAATGGTTGAAATGGCAAATGCTTTGTTATATACTTTTTACCACAGTAAGATAATTTTTTTTTTTTTTTTTAAGAGCTGAAAACAACAGCGAAAACAAAAAGATCCACTTGGACAGTGACAGTCCCAGAAAAGGATGCCAGGGAGCGTAGAGAAGGAAGGACCAGTAACAAATGAATCCCATGGGGCTGTGTCACCTCTGTGCTGCTGAGAGGATAAACTAACAGTGTTTTCCTTCAAAGCGATTTGTCAATATGTATAAAGAAACTTTAAAATGTTTAGGATTCTTGACCCAGTCATTTCGGTTATGGGAAGCTCTCCCGAGGAAAATGATCAAAGAGGCAATTTATTAACAAGGATTTTCATCACAGAGTTATTAACAATAGCAAAAGAAGAAGGCATAATGTGAAGTAACTGAATAGAGAACTGATTAAATAAATATGGTCCAAACCAAACTCATCGCTGTGGAGTCAATTCCAACTCATAGCAACCCTATAGGACAGAGCAGAACTGCACCGTAGGGTTTCCAAGGAGCAGCTGGTGGATTCAAACTGTTGACTTTTTTGGTTAGCAGCAGTAGCTCTTTACCACTGAGCCACCAGAGCTCCAAATAAATATGGTACATCCATAGAATAGAATAGTGTGCAACCACTACAAAGCACAGGCTCAAAGAATATTTAATGATATGGGAAATGTTGATACAATAATTTTTGTTTAAAAAAAAGGCAGCAGGATATAAAACGCGCAGTAAGATCTGTTTGTTCACATTGATTATATCTGGGTGGTGGAATAAATAAAGGTTATATTTTAGGAGAAGGTGAGGTAGATGGAAAGGAAGGAAAGAAGAAAGAAGTAGGAGGAGAAGGAAGATCTAAAAGAATCTCAGGCCACCAGCTAATACTGGCCAGACATGTTTGCTAACACCAAGGAGACCGGATGACATGCCCAGACCTCAAGGCTCTCCCTCTGTCATCTCCAAACAACAAACTGCTGGATGAGCAAGGGGGCAGGAGCCTCAGCAAACAGGCCCTGCGACATTACAATGAGCCATCGACGGGTTACTCAACAAGGAGTAGGAAGTTGTAGGGTGCCTGCCCTGTCCCCAGAGGAAAGAGGGGGAAGGGGAGGGGACCCTCTTATTGCTGGGCTCCCCTGCCCCCACTGTCCTATTCCTCCTTCTAGAACCTCTGGTCCCTCAGTATAAGCCCCAGAATCCCAAGCATCTGAAGGTATTTATCTTTCCTAAAAGGGGGCCCTCAGTCCTGGGGCATAGGCCCCTCCTCTCTCTCATCTCCTCCTGAGGGAACCCTTGGGACCAGCCACCAGCTTACCTGAACGAAGACGGGGAACACCAGGACCTTGGGGGCCAGGGTAACATAGGTGCCGTAGCTTGAGTGCGGGGTGTGCGGCCTCATGACTGTGCAGTTCTGGTAGTTCCCATGGCCCTTCATGGTCTGCACCGTTTTCATCAGCCGGGACTTCTTCCCCAGGCCCGTGTGGGACTTCCCTTTACTGGGACTCCCTGATTCTGTGGAAGAGAGATGGGAAGCTGTGAAGCACTTCCATCAGCCCTGCAAAGGCTTGTCTATGGAAACAGGGAACACAGACACAGTCAACCAACAACCATTTTCTAGCATCTACTATGTGCCAGGTCTTGCGCAAGGTGCTAAGAATAGGCAGAGGCTTCAGATGGGTCTCGGGCCTCAAGGGATTCACTCACACTCTAGTGAGAGATACTGACAAGTAAACAAGCCACTCTAGGGCTAGGACACAGCTGGGAACCACCAAGTATGACTTAAGGCAGCAGTGCCCATCTGGTGGCCCAGGGCCCTAATTAGACCTATCAGTTTGACTTCACACTTTTAAAAATCAGGAAATCTCTCATACTGGAAAAATCAGATTTTACTCACTGGGCCCATAGTCCCACATGGAATAGTGGAGCAGAGCAGCGACTGCCCCATGCAGCAAGGCAAGTGCTTTCCCCGTTGTGACTGTCCCCACTACTCCCAGCCCAGCCAACCCATTCCAGGCCCCATGGGCAAAGAGTTTGGAGATCCATCTTCTGCAGCAGTAGCAGAGACAGTAGGCTTTCCCAGTACAGATCAGTCTGCCCTCTAGCAGCCGAGGGCTCTGGAGCAGCCTGGCTCACTTAGCCAGTCTAAAATAAGGAACGGGCACTTGCTGCTCCAGTTCTTGGTAAAGAACTGTGCTCACATGCCCCCCTGCCACTCACTAGCTCGGTGACCTGGAGTGACTCACATCACCCCTCAGAGTCTTGATTTCCTCCATTGTAATAATAGTATCAAGCTCACTGGGTTGCTTGAGATTAAATGAGATGCTCTAAGTTAAGCTCATAGAGTAGTGCCCGTTGTTGTTAGTTGCCATTGAGTTGATTCCAACTCCTGGCGACCCCATGTGTTGCCAAGCAGAACCGCTGATACGGTGTCCAAGCCTGTGACCTTTCAGAAGCAGATCACCAGGACTGTCTTCAGAGGCACCTCAGGCCTGTCTTCAGAGGCACCTCTGGGTGGGTTCAAACCGCCAACCTTTCAGCTAGTAGTCAAGCACTTAACCATTTGTGCCACCCAGGGAATCAATGAACAGTACCTGGGACCTGGTAAGTATGCAATAAATGCTGCTACGTTATCATTGTTCTTGTTTTTGTGATTCCTCCACTTGGAGAAGTGAGTTAATGGGGTGCCCCAATGGACTCTGGGAACCCTAGGCCTCACCTCATCCAGGAGGTAGTCCTGGATTGGCTACCGACTCACAAATTATTCTAATAAAAAATAATAGAGAAAAGAAGAGAGGGAGAAACACGGCCACCCCCAGGAAAGAGAGGACTCCTGCTGTAACGGCAAGAGGACTCCCTTCAAGAGGACACAGCTGTACACCCTCACACTGACCAGGGGGTGGTACACATGTCTTACCATGTCCCATCAAACAGGGAAGAGAGCAAAACACAGGGCAACTAAAAATTCAGCGATTCTTGGAGGCAAGCAGGTAGGAGGCAAACTCCAGAGCATTCGGGCTCCAGGCATACCTGGGCCCTTCCAAGGGATTCCTGCAGCCAGTTGGGCAACTGGCCAGGCCCTCCCTGACCTGGGTGCCCAGCCCATGTCCTGGGGCCCCTGCCTGCTTCTGCCACCCCTATCCCTGGCAGCCAGGGAGGGAGGCTGCTTCGGGTGAACAGGTGGCCTGACCCCAGCCACATCCCGGGGAAGCTCCCCACCAACGCAAGGCTACGCTTCAGGGAAAAAATTTCAGCTCAGAAGGTTTCACATTCGCCCCCTTGGCACACCCTGTGCCCCTTCTCATCAAGCAGAGTCAGAAAAACACTCCCCCACACAAGTGACCACTGATCACAGTCGCACCTTGGGGCAGCACTCAAACCATAATGACTTAAACCACTTCCTGCCTCTTCGGTGAGTCACTTAGAGAGAAGTGGGAGGAGCATGAGCCCAGGACAGGGCTGGAGGGGCAGATGTAAAGAAGAAGTTACTCAGCTCCGAGTCTGATCTGGCCCTGGACACCAGCCCCAGAACGGTCTGTGTTGCCCCGGCCCTGGCCCTTTTGCTGAAAGACCCAGGCAGGGTCTCAAGATCTGCACTGGATTTGAGCAGGACAACAGACCTGCACTTGAGCACTGACTTCCCCCAGAGACCCGCTATGCTTCCCTACACAGGTTCTTTCCCTCTCTGAGCCAGAGTTTTTTCCAATGCCAAATGCAAATGATATGGATTGCTGCCCTGCCTGCACCAGGGCCAGTGGAGGCTCACACGGAGTCCTGATGGGGAAGGGTTTTGTGGTTTGTACCACACTGTGTGCAGGAGGGGTTATTACAAACTCCAGCCACCGAATAATCCACTCATCAGCGCTGGTGGCAGGACAGGCAGGGTTACTTGACCTTAAACCATACTGTGAATGGGGCCACAGGGTCAGCCTGGAACTAGACAGTCTAATTTAACATGGCCAAGCCTAGCACAGAGAAGATAAAACCACACGTGACTCACGAGCAAGGAAGTGAGGAAAAATAGACCAAAATTAGAGAAGACTACTGTTTGACATCCCAGTTAATTGGCCTAGTAATGTGTTTAGTGCTTCTGTTCCACCTCCTAGTTAGATGCATATTGCCTGGGATCATAAAAGCTTGCAAGCAGCCATCCAAGGCACAACAGCTGGTCTCTCTATTTGCCTGGAACAACAGAAGAAGGAGAGTTAGGAACAGGAGGAAGATATGGAATGTGTGGCTGATTGCCTCCATGAACAACTGCCTCCTTTGCCATGAGATCAGAAGAACGGGATAGTGCCCAGCTACCACTGCAGAACATTTTGATCAGATTCCACAGAAGAATCTTGATCAAAAGGGGGAACATACAGAAACAGAATTTCAAATTCTCATGGACTCCAGACTTCCTGGAGACTTGAAGGTTGGATAAACCTCTGAAACTATTGCCCTGAGATAATCTCTAAACCTTAAACTGAAAATATTCCCTAAAGTCTTCTTAAAGCCAAACAATAGCTTAGCTTAACTAGTAAAAAATGTCTGCCTTGAGCATTATGCTCTTTTAAAAACTATCTATGTAGGATTTAAGTGACAAGAGCAACTCGAAAGATTAGATAGGAACCTTAAGAGACAGTAAGTTTATGTTAACGGGGGAGGAACAACTCAGAAAAGGAGGGTAAGAATGGTTGCACAACTCGAAGAATGTAATCAATGTCACTGAATTGTACATGTAGAAACAGTTGAACTGGTGTATGTTTTGCTGTGTATATTCTCAACCACAACAAAATAAAATTTTAAAAAAGATTTTAAAAAAGAGTAGTGTTTGTAGATGCCAAAATCGGGGCCTTGTGCCCCTCAGTCTCAGACTGAGTCAAAGAATCCATTTCTTCCCTTCTCTGCCCAGATGCACAGGGCTGGCATAGAATCTTGGGCATAGAGAGTCATAAATCACCTGACAAATATCTCTGCCTTCAGGAAGGAAAGATCTGCTTGCCCTCATTTTATAGATAAGGCAACTGAGGCCTGGAGTGATTGGGTGACTTGCCAAGGTCATTTGAGCAGTAAATGGTACAAGGAGGGATTGACCCAACCTGGATGGAAGTCATGCCCTTGTGCCCCATCTCCATACTGCCTGGACAAAGTGTGGCAAATGGGCATGGCTCTCCAAAACTGATTTTTGAAGTATCTGTTTTAAAAACAGTCCACGTTACAACCTGGCTACTGAGCTCTGTGGAGACAAATTTGTTCATTTCCCACCTACTACCCCTTACTACTTCTCGTCCAAACCGCTAGATCACCCCTTTTTCTCAAACACCTGCTTCACTGACCAAACACAGTAATTGCACAGCTTTGCTCAAGACTTTCGAGGAGAGCCTTGGCAGGCGGTGGTGAATCTGAAGCCCAGCTGCCTTTACAGGGCAGGGGACAATGCTGAGGGCACTAGTGGCCCCGGGGAACATGCCCACCATCAGCAGGCAGGCAGCCCCAGGCCCCGGTAGGGCACCAAACCCTATTCAACTCAGGATAGCACAACCCTCCCTCCTGAAAGGAAGCCAGGCAGCCCAGCCAGAGGAGGGGGACCAAGATGTTGGCAGCCCTGCTGACAGCCTCATTAGCCTCTGGAGAACCTCCAGTGTGTTTAGGGGAAGCTTTGCGTCCTAAATGCCACTCCTTCTCTGATCCCCAAGACTGGGAGCTTGGAAGACTTGATCCCTGGTAAAGAGCAAAGATGTCCTTAGATACCAAAAAGATTATTATTATGAAGAATAAATGAGGTAGAGTCAAGATCTTAATACAATGCATTCAAAAAGTTACCACTGTTACTAAAACCATCATCATTTCCTTACTTGTCCCTTTCCCCATGGCTTAGATGGCTGTGCCCTTCTTGGTTCTCTAAGTACTGTACTCTCAGAGGGGAATCAATACATGAATACAGGTTGGGAGGACACCAGGGAGACACAGAGGCTTCTCTGAGGCCGAGAGGGACTCAATCCCAGAGCACCGAGCCTGTGTCCACTCACCCACTGCAGGTGACACACCCTCCAGGTGGAGGGACAGAAATGAGCTCTCTGACTCCGTGACCAGTCTTCAAACCCATGGAGGCAACCAGTCATTCTCCTTCAGTCATTCATTCAACCAAGTCACAGTAGACAGGCTACTATTTGCAACCATTATCCTGCGTCGGGCACTGGACACCCAGAAACAAGCCAGGCCCTGGCTCTGCCTGTAATGAAGTCACTATTTAGCAGTGGCATCTCCACTCTAACCTAACGTGCTAACTAAAAACTTCAAAGCTCACTGTTGAATTATTATCAGTTTTCTCCCAAGAAGGAACACAGATTCATTTCCAAGAGATCAGGCCCAACTGCGCAAATGCCCCCAGATTAGAAAGGAAGAGGGTGCCTTCTGTCATGACCGTGAACCTGATGGGTGCCCTCTTCATCCAAAACAGCACAGGCACTCTTCCAAGTACTCACTATAAGCAGCAGCATCTTCACGCTATTGATGGAGGGAGACGGCAAGGAAATGTCTGGAAGTGGCTGGGACGAGGCCACGGTCAAAGAAGGAGGTCAAAGGGCATTCTGAAGGCACCAGAGGAAGGGCTCAAGCACACCCAAAATGGGCATCACGGGCACCTGGTAAGGCTGGTTTCAACTTTCCAGATACCATCCGGACTGCTGAGTCAGAGGTCTCCAGCAGGCACATAAACCGTTGCCGTTGAGTTGATTTCAACTCATAGCGACCCTATAGGACAGAATAGAACTGCCCCATACAGTTTCCAAGGAGCAGCCAGTTGATTCAAACTGCTGAACTTTCGGTTAGCAGCCAAGCTCTTAACCACTGTGCCACCAGGGCTCCAAGCAGGCACATGGGGGATTTAAAAGAATGGCCACCAGCTCTGGCATGAAGACTGATATCTCAGGCTTCGTGGGAGAAGGAATTGCTTTTAAGCCCAGCTTCTACCCTTGGCTGGGATTTGAAGGATAAAGAAGAATCAATTCCAACAGCAGAGACACCTGTGCACTTCAAAGACAACCACCCTCTGTGGAGCATCTCACAGTAGACAGGCTACTACCCACAACCATTATCTAATCTAATCCTCCTAACAACTCTCTGAGGAAGGAATTACTGGCCTCATTTTGTAGATAAAGAAACTGAAGCTAAGCAAGTGGATGTGACTTGCTCAAAGTTATATAGCTAGAACTCAAACTTGAGACTTTCCAGCTCCAAATGCTATGCCTCCTTCCTGGGCAGGCCAGACACATTCCCTATAGAACTAAACATACACTGGCTGCCTGGTAAAACTGGATGAATCTCAATTGAATGAACAAGTCTTGAAGACCTTGTCTCTTAGACTGCTCCAGGAAGATTACCTCTCTTCCTTCTTAGTTCAGGCTCCAAGGAAAAAAAGATACTGGCTCAGTAAGGAAGAAAAGGTACCAAGAGGACAGAGTCTGTGTCAATATGCTACAAGATCCTGACTCTGTTGGAAAGGCCTCTGAAATCAGAGGAGGAGGCTGGGCCGGGTGCCCGGCTGGTCTCCACCATTTATCCGGGACTCGAATTGCACGGCAGCAGAGGACAGACTCACCTTCGGGGATGGTGTCCTCCTGGTACACAGGCCTCAGCAGCTGCAACGGAAAGACAGGAGAACAATTTCAGCCCCAGGAATGCGGCAGGACAGCCAAACAGGTTGCTGGACACCAGGCCGAGAAAGGCCTGGGGGATAGGGAGTGGAGCAGTTGAGGGTACACGTGAAAAACAGCAATCCAGCTAACCAGCTGAGGGAAGGAGCTTGGAGAGAACATAGAATCTCAGGATGTTCAGCTTGAAAGAGGCTTGAGCTGTCATTAGGTCTAACACTTTGACCAGTTCCCCAACATCCTTTGCAGCAGCTGTTCCAAAGGGCATTCCATGGAACACTGGTACTGTGGGACAAAAACCACCATGCCATAAAGGGCGCCACTGTCAGGGAAGTTTGAGAAATGCTGGATCCTTCTTTACTGAGGATCCCCTCAGAGCCTTGAATAGGCTACTGTGCATTGGAGAGGCAGAGAATATGGACTATTTCTCAAATCTATTTTGATCTCAGGACACTTTTTCCCCAGAGTATCTCATGGGACTCATGTTTTGGGGAACACAAGACATCATCCCTACATGTAATCATCCAGTGTCTGCTTTCACACCTCCAATGACAAGGAGCTCACTGCCTTGCAAGGCGGCCCATTCCACTGCAGAAAAGCGGGCTGTTTGAAAGCTCTTCCTTCGGTTGAGTTGAAACTTTCCACCCTGTGACATCCCCCAGTGATCCTGGATCTGTGCCCTCAGGCCACATCAACCCATCTGTTCTATCTGCCCAGGACAGCCCTGCAGAAGCCAGAGCTAATACATACCCCACCTGGGTTTCCTCACCTCCTGGCTTAACACCCCCAGCCCCTTGCAGGCTCCTGTCAACACAATTTTGAATCTTCAAATCTTCCTGGGCTTCCACGGGGACCCAATACCCCTCACCTTCCACAAACCAGCTGTCCATACCTGGCTCCCAGGATTCAGCGGGGCCAGGATGATGTAGTTGGGGTCCGTTGGGGCAGTGGCACGGGACAGGGCAGGCAGGGTGTGCTGGCTCCCACGCTTGGCCACCTCAGTGTAGCGCTCCCAGCCGCCAAGCAGCAGCCCATCAGAGCTGTCACACACCAAGTGGCAGCTGTGGCGTTGCTCGGGCCGGGCCTGGGCCCCGTGCGTGCAGTTCTTCTCCCGCTTGTTGGGGGGTGACTGGAGGTCATGTGCTGACTTGCAGGAGGCCCGCCGCAGCACCCCGCCATCTGGCCCCGGCTTGACCTGGGGGACCATGCGCCACACAAGCAGGATGATCTCGCCAGGGCAGCTCCTGGAGGTGGGGGAGGAGGCGCACACAGAGAAGTTGAGTCTAGGGGAGACCAAAGTCAGCCAGGGTGGGGGCCTGCAGGGGCAGAGAAAAAGAGTAGGGGAGGGGAAGCAGAGGCAGGGGAGAAGCCCCCAATGTCAGGGCAGGAAGGGATGGAAGAGGTCATCTAAAGCAGAGACAGCAAAAGGATCTTAGGTCAACTCTAATCAACTGACAGTGGCTGAGAAGGACCTTGAGGCCAAGGCCAGGACGATGCACCAGGAGAGAGTGCCATACTCAACTAATGATGTCTACCACGGGTGAAATACGAGCAAGTAGGGGCGTGCAAGCCACCTCTGTCCAACCCCACATCTAGTCATTCTAGAGGCCAACCCAGAAAGGGGTCACTAGGGCTTTACTATTCCCCCCCAAAAAAAAAGACCTGTTGCTGTCGAGTTGATTCTGACTCATGGTGACCCCATGTGTTACAGAGTAAAACTGCTCCATAGGGTTTTCTTCGCTGTAATCTTTACAGAAGCAGACTGCCAGACTTATCTTCCACAGTGCTGCTGGGTAGGTTTGAACCGCCAACCTTTAGGTTAGTGGACAAGTGCAAACCGTTTGCACCATCCAGGGACTCAGGGCATCAAAATTTAGGGAACCCAAACATCTTAAAAAATAACTATTTAATGCTTAAATTGTGCCACTTAAACATTTGTAACATCTACACATCTTTCAGCCTAGCTCTTAAGCAGCACAAGTAATTAGCCAAACTAGAAAGGGACCTCATGGAGCCATGTCATGAGCACAGGACCTGCTTGAGAGCCTCTGCCCCTTTTGCTCTGGGAGCCAAAATTGCTCTAAGCCTGAACCTTCCATTTTCAGGCCAAGAAGCCAATTCCCCGGGGAGCAAAGGGAATAGCTCACAGCTGGGCAAAGGAGGGAAAGGCAGGGCAGAGTGGGGTGTCCAGGGCTGGGTGGGGGGGTGCACCGTCAGCCTGAGGCCCAAGACCACCCGCTGCCCCGTCACCGGATCTCGTGTGCCAGCTCCACGCATTTCCAGTGCTCCACGGGCCTCTGGTTCAGTTGCAGCACCGTATCCAGCTGCTGCAGCCCTGCCTGCTCTGCCGGGCCCCCTGCCGGAACAGAGAAAAGCCACTCAGAGGCTCCTGAAGCCCAAGACCCCCAAAAGCACTTGAGTCCTTTGCCTCCATGGTGACCTTAGGCAAGGACTGCCCCTCTCATTTCTTCATCTGTGAAGTGAGGGGCTAGACCTGCTGGCTCTCAGGGCCTTTGCCTTCACTGCCTCCCTGCCGTCTCGCCCTAGGGCTGGCTTACCTCCCTGCTGGCCACCTTCCACCCAAGCCCCTTCCTACCTCCTACACCACCAGAAGCCCTTCCCTGTTGCCAGGCTCACACACATCCTTCATTCCTTCAGCACTGTTCACTGAGCACCAACTTCATGCCCAGGCCCATGCAGGCTCTGGGGACACCCAGATACCGAGCCCTGGCTTCTGCCCTTAAGATGCCCATTCTGTGATTAAGAGAAGTCTTTTATTTGTGAAAAGTAGGGGGGAATAATTATTTTAAGCGCTAAACCTGTTTGGAATAGAATAAAATACCAATTCCAAACAGAGTTCATAAAAGACTCTCATTTTCCCATGCAATCATTACTGAAAATATAGGTTTAGTTCCTGTTCAAAATGACTAGGAGCCAAAATATAAAAACTTATTTTCATTTTGATAAAAAAAGAGAGTGGGTATATTTTCATAAACCTCAGTTTTATCTCTGGTCATTTAAAAATATTATTCTTTTCATTTTGAAAAACCAGGACACTGCTCCAGTTTGGGGCTCCGTGTTCAGTTCTAACCTCTGTTTGCAAAGCCGAGGTGCGGGGCGGGCGAAGGGGGCTGGGCATCGCCCAAGTCCCTCACTCACCTGAATCCACGGCCTGGACTCGGACCGGAGAGTCGCAGCAGATGGTGAAGCCAAAGCCGTCCTTCCCCCTCGGGATGGTGATCTAGGACACAGCCCTGCCCAGTTACTTCCAGAAGCCACGAGGCTGCACTGCCTCTGTGCCTCCAAGGTTGGGAGTCCACAGGCCCCATCCCAGAACCATCCTCCTCTCTGAGGGACTAGAGCCAAGAAGTACGCTGGCTGGCCTTTCGCTGTCCCTATCTCAGCCCGGGCAACTCGAGCACTGGGGTGTGGGCCAAGCAGGAAGGTGAGAGCTCGGGAGGGAATCCCAGGCCAATGTGGGGAGGGCCTGGGACGGAACCTTGGGAAGGTGAACCTCGCCTTCCTCGGACCTGGCAAACATGCAGCCCAGCCCTTTTGAAAGGAGCCCAGTGGACCTGCACTTCTCCACCTCACCTATGACCCACTGCCTGCATCAGTCCCCTCCTCCTTCCCCAGAGGCTCAGGGAGCATCGGCCCAGTGCTGACCCTGTGCTGAGGGCTAGAGCCCATAGATGAAGCAGGTCTGGTTGCTGCCCTCTCAGAGCACAAGGCTGGAAGACAGAGACGTGCATTCACAATCTCAGGCCAAGGGTCAGGGAAAGAGTGCTGGGTTCTCCAGGCAGCTCATCTCAAGCATCACAGGCATTCAGTGAGGGCTTTCAAGGCTCCCAGGTGAGGGGGCACAGATAGTCCTCCCACTGAACCTGAACTAGCCATTGACCTACTGTGCCTGCTCAGGCCCATGTGCATAGGAGGTCTGTAACCCCTACTTTCAGAAGTTCCATGAAAGGGCCCTGCCATCTGGATGTTCTTTTCAATGCAGCACACATTTATGGGGACTTTACTAAATGCCAGGTTTGCAGATGAACAGAGACATGAAGCCTTGATCTCTGACTCCCAGAGGGGCACAAGCATGCACAGACCTCTCCAAAGCAAAGCAGGACACTAGAACACAGTGTGAGGACTGTCTTGGGAATAGAGACAAAAGTGCTTTGACTTTAGTTTCGATAGACGAATCCTGATCAAAAGGGGGAAAAATGTGGAACAGAACTTCAAATTCTTATGAAATCCAAAATCTCTAGGGACACCTTAAACCAAAAATACCCCCTGAAGTCGTCTTTAAACCAAACAGTAGTTTAGCTTAATTAGAAAAGAATGCTCACCTTGAGTATTGTGTTCTTTTAAAGAATTACCTATATGAGATCAAATTGACAACAACTTAAAAGGTTTGATGAGAAGCTCAGGAGGCAGTGAATTTGTGCTGATGATGGTGAAACAATTCGGAAAAGGATATTGAGAGAGGTAACACAATCTGAAGAATGGAACCAGTGTCACTGAATTGTACATGTAGAAATTGAAATGATGCATGTTTTACTATGTATACCTTCACCAAAAATTTAAAACGTAAATAAAATAACTTTTTTTTTAAGTGCTTTGACTTTGGACTCCACGCTTGGCGCACAGTAGGGATTCAGCAAGGCTAAGTGAGTGAGGACAGTCAGCAGGGTCCCATCAGCAGAAGGAAACTGTTGAGGTACAGTGAGGTCTGCTGGCTCAGGTTAGTTAATTCTTGCTGCACACTCCCCCCTCTGCAGCTGCCCCCTATTAGGCTTTGGGTGGGGGTGCAGAAGGTCCAGCCCCTGCCCACCCAAAGAGTAATTCAAGGTCACTTGGAACATTTGAATAAGAGCTGCAGAACTAAGGGCAGGAAAAGTCAGAAAAGGGGGTCTAAGGGACCACCTAAAAGAAGTGGGACCTGGAGAGGGCCTGATGAGGCATGAGGGAGGGTGTCCCAGGCAGGTTGAGGAAGAAGCCAGCTCAGCAGTCCTGGAGAAAGTCAAGGGCAGGCCTTGTGGGGAGACTTGTATGTCTTCCCTTAGGGGTTGTCCCTTCAAGGCTGTGTGCCCAACATTCACCTGCAGGCTGTCCCAAAGCTCAGGCATGAGGAAGAGGAGGGAGAGGGGGCCCAGGATGACCAAGGCTCTTGGAAGCTGCCGGGGCCCCTGAGGCTCTGCTTCCCACCAGCCCTGGGCCTGGATTCAAAGCAAGTTTGTAAAACAGGAAATCTGACAGACAAGGGGAAGGGGGAGGGGGCAGGAAAATACCCTGTTCCCATAAGAATTCTGGGAAAACACGCAGCTAAGACAGGAAGAGGAAAAAAAATGGAAAGAAAGAAAGAAAAACAAACCTTGGAGTGAGTGCGGAAAGCTGGAGGAGAGGAGCAACTACTAGTTGTCAGGCCCAGCTGAGGGCCAATGACAGGAAGATGTCAGGAGCCTGGTCCACTCCGTGGGACTAGGCAGGAATTTTTACGGGGCCTCACTACCACCCCTCCACCCAAGCAGAAGCTGGGATTCCAAAGCCTTTCTAGCACTTTTCTAGTCCTAACCCACCAAGAGACTACAACCCTTCCTGCCTGGGGTGCCAGCTGTGGAAAACGGGTCCCAGCACCCCCGGGCTCAGTGCTAACATTTTGGGCACTGGCCCCAGAGTTGAGTCTGGAGAGGAGTGTGTTCCAGCAAAACAGCCTCCCCTGCCCACACCCTGGCCCTCTCGTTCAGGCGGGACTGTGGACTGGAGTCCCCACTTCCCTCCTGAGCACCAGCTTCAGAAGAGCCAGCCTAGATGGCAGTCCAGCCCAGCTGGGGGGTGGGAGGAGGGAAGAAGAGAGGGTGTCAGGGAGCAAGCTCATCTCCTGGCTCTGTGAGGGAGTGTGACTCGGTGAAGGAAGCAAAATTACACTCTGTCCATTGTGAGCACTAACCACATTAAGAGGACTCTGTCCAAAGTTCCTGATCGTCACTTTGACCCTGAGAGGACTGCAGGGCTAGTTTTAGTATGCCCATTTTACAGAGAAGGAAACTGAGGCCCAAAGTGAGAAAGTGGCAGCCCCCAGGTCTCAGCCCTCCGGTTCAGGAGGTGAGGGGAGCAGCCCTGACCCGAGTCTGGAACCTCGTTGCTCCTGACAGAGGCTGCCCTTCCTGGGGGTGGTTCTGGCAGGAACTGTCACTGCTCCTAGGTCTCACTGCGCTACCATTTCTGCTCTCCTGCGTGGTCTCTGATCCTTTGTCGTGCTTAGACTTCAATCCCAACTGCCACCATTTATTGGACCCTTCCTAGATGTACATACCGAACACTGAGCCAGGCACTTCATACACATTAGCTCATTTACTCTCACAGCATCTTCACTGGATATTATTATCTCTATTTTCCTGACAAGGAAATTGAGGCTCAGAGAGGTAAAGTGACTTTCTCAGGAGTCACAGCTAAGGAGGGGCAGGGCTAGATTTGAGCCCAGGTCTGACAAAAAGCTGGTGTTCTCCACATGGCACTGGTTCCTAACCCAGGATCCGTCTTGAGCTCTGGGTCCCAGATCCCTAGGTCCAGACCGCACTCACACCTGCCCCCACTCTAACACCCAACCATGCCCTGGCCTTCTGGCCCAGAGTCCTGAAGTGACCAGGGACTTCTAGACTGCTCATCCAGTGTTCTCTCTGCCTCACCGCTCTGCCCAGTTGCTGATGTCCCAGGGGTTGCTCTGGCCTGGGGCGGGGGGAGCAGAGTGGGGTGTGCACAGCAGGACCTGAGAGCTGGGGAGGGCTGGAGGGAGAACACTGAGGCCCCATAGCAGGTGCGTGCTGGGGTGCAGGAGGCCTCTCTGGGCATCTCTCTGTGACCTAAGTACTGCGCGTCGGAAGGAGTCAAGGACCCAGATTACCATCTGGTCACTAAAACAAGCAGAAGGATTTTTCCATATTTTAAAAATCAGAACCATTTCTGAGATCCCTTCCAGCTTGGACATTCCCAAAACTGGACATCCCTTGCCTTTACCTCCCTGACACCATCCTTTTTTCATAAGAAAAAAATACTCCATTACAGTTCCAGAAGGGGCTGGGGGGCTAACTGGGTCATCACTCCCCATCCCACTCTGCTCCACACTCCAAGCCTGGAGGCTGAGAGGCCAAACTCTCTTAGGGAAGTTGGGCTCCAAAGCCAAAGGAATCCTGAGCCACTTCAAGGCACCAGGGCTACAGAGGAGGGAAATCATGTATGCACACATATACAGAGAAACACTGTGTCTCACATGCAAGCACCCACCAACACATACAAAAACACTTACACATCACACACACAGAGAATACAGAGCAGGCAGACAATGCCATCCCATCAGAAGTAGGGGACCAGGTTAGCAAATATACCAGACCCCCTCCAGAAACACCCAGGTGCTCAGCAACCAAGACATTTCCAATCTCAGGCTAGGGATGTCTTTTTAAACCCACATCCCCCCAAATAAAAATGAAGAGAATATCAGCAAGATAACCTCTCCCAGGACCACACCCAGTCAGTGGGTCTCGTCTCCCCCTGGAGAGGGGCAGTGGTAGCAGGCTGAACCCTGGGTCCAACTCCTGCCTCTACTCTCCTACTAGATCAGAATGACCCTACAGGGATGGGGGGGCAGTTACGGACAGCCGTGTGTGGATAGCGGTCCTGCTCATTGGGCCCCACCCACGACCCCCCAAGGGACCAAGCACCCACCTGGCGGTAACGGCGCTCCGAGCACACCTTGCAGAGCCCATTGAAGCGGTTCATGGCTGCAGGTCCTGTCTTGGCTCCCGCCCCATGAAAACCCAGCTCTCCCCCAGCAGCGGGAGCCCGTACTGCGCCCCGTCAGCCTGGCATGACCGCCCTGGGAAGCCCGCCCCACAGAAGAATGGCAGGAAATCACCTCTCACCTCCCCAAGCCCTGTCTGCGCTGTGTGCCTCTGCACGATAAGCCCGAAGGCTTCCTGAAACCTCAGAATGACAAGGAAGAGGGAGAGTTTTATATTAAAATTCCTGTCAACTAGTTAGTATTCCCCAGGCCCCGGCGGGGAGAGGGCGCCTTTGTTCTGGCTGCATTCTCCGGCCGTGGGCCACTTTGTGCTTCCAATGTTCTCACAAACACCCCTCGCTGGATGAGAACCCAGGCAGAAAACACACCCACTCTATAACAACGCCACCTCCTCCTGCCAGTCCCAGGGTCCCCAGTAGCAAATGTGGGAGGCTAACCCAGCCTAAAGAATCCACGGCTGCCATGGGGGTTGCACCTACAGACATCCCATCTCAAGACAAGCAACACCAAGCATTTGCAGACACAGGACCTGCCTGCCTCAGAAGCAACTTAAAAGTCAGTTTCCTCCTTCATATAACTGGGCTGCCTTGAGAATATGATGGTATGCAGCCTATAATGTCAAATCTAAAAAGGATTTCCAAATCATCAGATGACTCAGCCTCCTTATTTTACAGATGAAGAAATTGAGGCCTGGAGAGGTTCAGGTCACACAGCAGGGTAGTGGCATTGCTGGGACCAGAACCCAGGCCTCGTCTCCTGACTTGCAGTCCCAGGATCTCGTTAGGGAGAGCATCACATGGTGGGCCCCTTCCCTCTTGCACCCCTTTGGAGCCCACCCGCTTGCATCCTTGATACCAGAATGTTCCCTGGTCCAGCCCCACTTTGGTTGCTGTGTGACCACAGACAGGACCTCCATGTCCCCATCTGCACAACGAGGGAGTTGAAAGGTGACCTCTTCTCCAGCCCCAGCCAAGCCTCTGACAATCACCCCCCGATTTGCCAAGCCTCCTGACATCTGAGTGTGAAAAACTAGGAAGGCAAGTGCACCTCAACACAATGTCCCAGTAGCCTAGGGCCTGTGTGCAGAATCCAGCATGAAACAGGAATTTCCAAAGGCAGCTAGAAACCTGCCATGTTGATGTCCATGTAACCCCCACAAATCACCCAGGAGACTCCCTGGTCACTGTCCTTGCTGTGCTCAGCCAGAACAGAGAGAGAGATGTCTTTGTAGCAACACCCCTGAGGCAAAAGGAAAGCTTTTAACCTCTCACTGGGATAACAAAGCCACAGACCTGGCAAGTTACTCTAATACTGCACATTCAGTAAGGTAGTCACTAGTCACATGTGGCAAGGTAAATTTCAATGAAATAAAATTAAATTAAAAATCACTTCCATAGCCCTATTAGCCACATTTCAAATGCTCAGTAGCCATGGGTGGCCAGTGGCTACCACATTGGACAGCACAGCTCTAAGCTATGAGCTCTATGAAGGCTGGGATTTTGGACTTGTTCACAGCTACATCCCAGTACCCAGCACAGGGCCTGGCCCGTGTAGGTGTCCAATAAATATTTAATGAATGAATGAGTGAGTGAATAAACGAATTGAGTAAATTAAAGGGAATATGTTTTGTGGATGATAACACACCCATATGTAAGATTGCAAGATATTATTATTGAAAATACCAATGTCATCTTCCCAACTGGGTCACACCCAGGAGGTGGCATGATGTAGTGCACTTGGGAGTCCAACAGACCTTGCTTCAGGTCCTGCTTCCACCACGGCAGGCTGTGTGGCCATGGAGAGTGACCTAATGTCTCTGAACCTAGTATGACCCTCTCATCTGTAAATGGGGAAATAAGTGCCATCTCAGAGGTGGTGGTGAGGATTCAATAAAAAAATAATAGCGCTCGGCACAGGGTGGATACTTAATCACTGAGAGTTTGTTTTTCTCTCTCTTAGTTGTTAGAGAAAACCATGGATCACCAGCCATGCCCTGCAAGGGGACGGAGTGAATTTTGGAGAAATCCCTAATGGTCTCAGGCTCAGAATCGTGGCTGCTCCCTGACGTAAGGGAGGGCTTAACCTGAGGGGGTGGACCAGCCACAGTGCCAGGGGAAGCAGGGAGCCTATGTGAAGGGGAGGGCTCGGCTTCTAGAGGCTGGCGGTCAGTAAGGTCCAGGCTCCTCCAGCCCCAGATAGGGCCGGCTCTCTCCCTACCCCTGCCCTGACCTGAACAACCCAAGGCAAGCACTCACTTACTATTGCACGCCTGAGGAAAGTCAAGAAACACTCCCTTCAGCACTCGTGACTGGCTGAGTTTCTAGGCACCAAATGAACCTCAGTCTCAGATACCAAGTGCTGTCCTGCTTAGGGGTATCCTGGGCCAAGGTACTGATAGGAGCAAGGGACAATAAATAAAGGGTACTGTCAGCCCCGTCCAGGGTTGTCCCCACATACCTGGAGTTTGTCTCCATTCTCTGTGTCCCCACCTCCTGGCATTCTCAGCAGCGGGTCTGGAAGGTGACAGAGCAGAGTCAGAAAGCTTCTGCTGACATGAAGGGACCATTCCACAGGCCACCCAGAGGACAGGGATGGAGTCACAGGCCCATGTGACTGCCCAGGCCACTTCTGGCCTCCAGGGTGTGAGGATGCCCAAGGCTCTGCCCAGGCAGGGGCTCTGGAGCCAGGGCTATGAGCAGAAAGATAAAACCGAAGAGGGAGCAAAATCCAAGTCCTGAGCCTTAGGACTCATGACAGGATCTAAAACACCCTGTCCATAGGTAGGTACAGGCAAGAACTGGATCTCTGATGCAGAGTTTGCCCCATGATGCAAGGCCACCCAGAGGGAATCCCTGAGGTCACGGAGCCTGGGATGGGGCCATTACAGAAGCTTCTGAGTCCAGTCCTCCATCAGTGAGGGGTGGAGGGAGCTGAACCTTGTGGAGTCGGGCCCATAACCCTCCCTAGGAGAGTCCTAGGAGATAAATAAAGGTGTCATGGGTGAGAGGCTTCTTGCAGCCTGCATTCTTCAAACTGCTCGTGAGGGGTCGTCCCTGGACTCTGCAGCCTGATCACAGCCTGGGGTGACAAGTGCCACAAAACACAGGGACTGATGTTACTACCCAGGAAGGGGTAGGGGGCGCTTGGAGAGGGAAGAATGTGCAGGCAGAAGCTGAAGGCAGTGTGTATGCACCTCTCAGGGGCTGCAGCCGCCGCCTTGCCACCTTCAGGTGCTTGGTCTGGCCCAGGTCCTCCCCGAGAAGGTAGTACCAGCCACTGATCTCCTGTCATGAGAGAAGGGGTGATGTGCTCAGACAGAGGAGGCAAAAGACACAGGTCAGTCAGCCACCAAGCCCCATAAAGAGCAGCAGCTGAAGACCTTCCCTGGAGAGTGGCATCTCTGTAGAGACAGATACTCCAGCCTCTGCCCTGAAGACTCCCATACCTGCACCTCCAGGAAGCCCTCCCTGATGCTCCAGGCAGAGCTGGTCCTCCCCTGTGCCAAATTCCCACAGCCTCTTATCCCTGGGGGACAACCACCTTTTTGTATGTCTGCCTCCCCCACTAGGCTGTGCACAGGCTCCTTGATGTGCCTAGCACTAGGCCTGGTATACCATAGGAGCCCGATAAATGTTTGTTAAAAGAATAGAAGGGAGACAAGAAAGTAGACACCCTGAAGCTCCTGAGCAGTCCCCATGGGGGAACATTTTCTTCCCAGGGGAATGTGAAGCTGAGGCTGCAGCTAAGAGAAGATAACTGGGACCCACACAGAGGTAGAGGGTCCTCAGTCACCTTCCCCCCAGACTTCACCACCAGGAGACAAAGGTGGGTAGCAGGGCCACCTGGCAGCTCCATGCAGCAGGCCACTAGAACACGTCCAGGGTATGCAAAAGGAGAGCGTCCCCCCCCTGCTCAAAATCCTCCCATTTGTGGGGGGCAGTGCAAAGTGGAGATGGATAAGGGACTTGCCACCCAAAGGGAGTATTCTTTAGATCCCACAGAGCCTCATCCAGCCTGAGGGAAAGCTTGGTAGAGGATGGTGCTGCTTCTGCCATCCCTGAGCCTGTGCTAGACCTAGAAACATGAGACCTGGTAGATGACATCAAGGGACCCCTGGAGCAGACCATAAGAAGCACTTGGCCCTTCTCCTCCAGGGCAGGCCCAGAAGTGCTCTGAACCCTGAGGAACCTGCCAGTGTACTTACTGGCAGACACCAGACCCAGAGCCTTCTGGGAGGACTTTGGACCACCTGACAACTGCTCTCAGATAAGAACAAACCAAGAAAGGGACCCAAGCCCTCCTCAGTCAGTCAGGTGACACACCCAGTGTGGTTATTCAGGCTGCTTGGCACCTGTCTCCGTGAGGCACCATCTCACAGACAGAGGCTCTGCCCAAGGGCTTCCAGAGAAAGGCTCCTACCTATCCCAGTGGGATGATCCTGCCAGAAGTTTCCCTAGGACTTACCTTGTCCGGAGTCAGGAGGGACTTCACCCCAAAGCTCATGCAGCCAATAAGTCTGCTATGTCTGGAAGAACAACAGAGGCCTGAGTCAGCACCTTCTCACTGGGCTATATTGGAGGCCAGTTATCAAGCACAGCATCAGGTTTGCCTGATGCACTGGAGTATACACACCACTTTTACTTGCATCAGCTTATTTGATCCTTTCAGTGTTGTGAGATCAGCCAGAGAGGAGTTATCATCTCCATTTTACAGAGGGAAAAACTGAGGCTTAGTGTTGGTTCCCCTCCCAAGCACCCTACGCCTTTGTGTGGCACGCTCTCCACCAATCACAGAAGCTCAGACTGACCTCCCAGCTTTTAACTGTTCTGGTAGATCTGAAGAGCTGGTCTCCACAGGGAATTTCAGCTCCCCCATCAGTGGTTATGTTCAGTTGAGGAGAAAATTTATGAGACCTCAGGCTCAAGAAGCTTTGTGTCACCCAATTATGAAATGGACAAAGGACTTGAATACACATTTCACCAAAGAGGACATTCAAATGGCCAACAAACACATGAAAAAATGCTCAGCGTCATTAACCATCAGAGAGATGCAAATTAAAACCACAATGTGATAACATTTCACTTGGACATTACTGGCACTAATCAAAAAAAAAAAAAAAAAAGGGAAAA